AAGTTTATAGCCAGATGTAGGGTAGGGGTGACATGCTTTCTCTAAAGGGCCAGATAGTAAATATTTTAAGCCCTCAATGGACCATATGGTCTCTGTCATAGCCATGGGCCCTTGCAGCTGTAGTGCCAAAGCAGCCACAGACAATACTACATCGGTGGGCAGGGGAAGTTCATTCTGTAAACTTTATTTATGGACACCAAAAGATGAAGTTCACAGAATGTGTGCAAATCACAAAATACTGTTTTTCTTTTGATTATTTTTGAATCGTTAAAACATAAAATACGGTGGCCGGCCGTGGTAGTTCACACTTAATAATCCCAGCACTTTGGGAGGCCGAGGCAGCCGGATCACCTGAGGTCAGGAGTTCGAGACCAGCCTGGCCAACATGGTGAAATCCCATCTCTACTACAAAAAAAAATTAGTCAGGCATGGTGGTGCATGCCTGTAATCCCAGCTACTTGAGGCTGAGGCACGAGAATCACTTGAACCTGGGAGAATCACTTGAACCTGGGAGAATCACTTGCACCTGGGAGGAGGAGGTTGTGGTGAGCCAAGACTCTGTCTCAAAAGAACAAAAGTAAAATACTTTCTTTCAGACCATACATGAAGAGGCTGTGGGCTGGGTTTGGCCCCTGAGCTGTGGTTAGTGACCACACACACACACACACACATACACACACACACACACACACACACACACACACACAGGGCAGTCAGGCATTTAGAGCCAGCACCTGTGTTCTCAGCTGAGCTGTGTTCCTGGCTGGGTTCTACTCTCTATTCTGGGCCCTGAGGTGCCTACCTTGGTAAACTGGAGACAGCAAAGCCTGCCTGCTTCCAGGTTGGTTGTGAAGATTGAAAAGGGTCATGTTTTGTTGTTAGGCCAGATGCTTTGTGTAGGACATGTTAGGTCATTTCACCTTTTTTTTTTTTTTTTTTTTTTTTGAGATGGAGTCTTGTTCTGTTGCACAGGCTGGAGTGCATGGAGTATAGTGGCGAGATTCCAGCTCACTATGACCTCCGCCTCCTGGGTTCAAGCAATTCTCCTGCCTCAGCCTCCTGAGTTGCTGGGATTTACAGGTGGCTGCCACCACGCCCGGCCAATTTTGGTATTCTTAGCAGAGATGGGGTTTCACCATGTTGGCCAGGCTGGTCTCGAACTCCTGACCTCAAGTGATCCGTCCACCTCGGCCTCCCAAAGTGCTGGGATTACAGGTGTGAGCCACCGCACCTGGCCTATTTTCACTTTTCATTAGCTGCTTTTTTCCCCCATTTATTTCCTACCTTTCTGTGAAGGATTTCTGAGTTAAATGTATTTCATGTCTTAACCTTCTGAATTGTTTGTTCTCTCATTTTCCATGTTGCTGAGGAAAATAACAGGCTACGCGAGACATATTAAATTTCTATGTGGTTGCTCAGATCAGGATAAGTGCTCACCTGGTGCAAAATGGGACTCTGCTCTTGCTTCACCCAGGATGCGTTTCCTGGTTCCTTCCTAGAGTGGGGACACACCATACTCCAGCCCTCCGGACCCCGCTCCCTGCTCTGGCATGATTCCACCAGACTGTATTCCAGCTGTCCTCCCGGGACCTAGATGTTTTCTTTCTTTTTTTTTCTTTCCTTTGAGATGAAGCCTCACTCGGCGGTCCAGGCTGGAGTGCAGTGGCACAATCTCGGCTCACTGCAACCTCCACCTCCCAGGTTCAAGTGATTCTTCTGCCTCAGCCTCCCAAGTAGCTGGGATTACAGGTGCCTGCCACCACGCCCAGCTAATTTTTGGGAGATAGGGTTTCACCATTTTGGCCAGGCTGATCTTGAACTCCTGACCTCAAGTGATCTGCCCGCCTCGGCCTCCCAAAGTGCTGGGATTACAAGCATGAGCCACCACACCTGGCCAATTTTTTTTTTTTTAAATTTGTGTAGATGGGGTTTTGCCATGTTGCCCGGGCTGGTCTTGAGCTCCTGGGCTCAAGCGACCCTCCCGCCTCAACCTCCCAAAGTGTTGGGAGTATAGGTGTGAGCCACTGTGCCTGGCTGAGATGACTTAAATGACACAGGAGGATGTGCACAGGTTACATGCAAATACCACACCATTTTATATCAGGGTTTTGAGCATCCTAGGGTCTGGTGTGGAGCCAGGGTGGGGCAGGCCTGGTCCCAATCCCCTGCAGATACCAAGGGACGACTGTGCATGTTGTATTTCTGGAAACAGTTTGAGAGTAAATTAAACCAAGTGACAGATGAGATTTCTACCCATTTGGTAATAGTAGTGCCGTGGTTCTTTCCCTCCTTCCTGACCGGCTGTGATGGTCATGAATCAGAGTGTCATGTATGGGTGGGCGGTAGGTGTTCAGATTCTCCAAGCACTGTTGTGTGTTTGTCAAATCAAACTGAGTTCCCTCAGCTGCAGAAACGGCTGAGAGCCCAGCTGGTTTTTCTCTGTGCTGTTTCCTTTGTGATGACATAGTGTTGATGGATTTATTGGAATATATCTTTCATTAATTGGAAGAATTCCTAAAATTAAAAAAATAAAAGCCTTTTTTTGAGATAATTGTGGATTCACATACAGTTGTAAGAAATAGTATCGAGGTTCCTTTTACTGTTCGCCCCATTGCCCTCAATGGTAGCCAGTTGCAAACTACGGCACAGTCACCACAACTAGGGTGTTAACACTGACAGTCTGCCTGTCTTCATCAGGTCTTCCCAGTTTTACATGCTCTCAATGGTGTGTGTATTTCTTGGCAAATTTTTCACGTGTGGATTTCCCGAGACCACCGCTGCAATCAGGGTACATGGACAAGAGTCCTTAATACCCACATTCACGTCTTCTCTCCCCACCCTAACTGCTGGCAACCACTCATCTGTTCTCTGTGTCTATTATGTGATTTTTTGACATTGGTTTTTAAATTTTTTATTGTTATTATTGTAATTTTTGGAGACAGGGTCTCACCCTGATGCCCAAGCTGGAGTGCAGTGATATAATCATAGCTCACTGCAGCCTCAAACTCCTGGGCTCAAGCAGTCCTCTCATTTCGGCTTCCTGAGTAGCGGGGACCACAGATGCACGACAACACTCCCAGCTAATTTTGTACTTGTAGAGACCCCGGTCTTGTTATTGTTCCCAGGCTTGTCTTGAACTCCTGGCCTCAAGCAAGATTGAGTTTTTTCACTCAGCATAATCCCCTTGACATTTTCCCAAGGGGGTCATTGCACGTGTCATTATTGCTGAGTAGTAGTTTTTTGGTTTTTTGTTTTTTGTTTTTGGAGGCAGAGTCTCGCTCTGTCGCCCAGGACAGGCTGGAGTGCAGTGGCACAATCTTGGCTCACTGCAGCCTCCACCTCCCAGGTTCAAGCAATTCTCCCTCAGCCTCCCAAGTAGCTGGGACCACAGGCGTGCACCACCACGCCTGGCTAATTTTTGTATTTTTAGTAGAGATGGGGTTCTGCCATTTTGGCCAAGCTGGTCTCCAACTCCTGACCCGAAGTGACTCGCCCACCTCCTCTGACCACACTTGACCCATGTGCTTTCTCTTGGAAGGACTGTGTGTCCTGTTACATGTCTGTGTCTTGTCACGTTCATATTTCTCATTTCAGAGCAAAGATTTCTGTCTTCCAGGTACCCAGTGCCCTTCTCGGAGGTTCTTGTGTTTCCTGTCTGAGCTTGTCCTAATAAGCCTGGGAGCGCTACAGGAGACCAGGGCTTATTTCATCCCTTCGGCTTCGACCATAAAAGACGGCACACGCTTCTAAAGGAGCCGTTTATAGGCCTACCTTCAGGGCGCATTCTCTTTCTCAGGGATGTTCCTTGCTGAGAAAAAGAATTCAGCAATATTTCTCCTATTTGCTTTTGATAGAGGAGAAATACAGCTCTGCAAAATATAGCATTTTGCCTCCAGATTCTCAGGTGGTTTTAGAAAGTGTTTCTCTAATTCTGTAGGAGAATGTTGATACTGTTGCAGTCTTACATGACATGGAAACTAGAAAACATAGCTAGATACTCTTCTTCTCATGTTTTGGATAATGAGATAAATTATTTTATGCTTCACACACTTGGAGTATGTCATCTACTGTAATATAGTATCTGAATGAATACTTCAAATACATTTTTGTAAGCTAGTTGTACACTTTAAAGCCTCTGAATAAATTTGAGTAGCAAGTCTGAGAAACTTGATTCTAAATATTAAAAATACATCCTTCCTTGGGAGGGAGCGTGTAGGAAACGTGCAGTGTGATTGTAAGCATGCTGTCTGTCTGGAGGTCGCTTTGTTCCTGCATCCTCTGCTTTCATTTCAGGGATGTTCACGGAACGCCAGGCACCAAAGGGCCAGAAGCGTCCCCCTGCAGGACCAGCCTTGGCCCTGGTCATCCTGCTGGAGCTGGCTGTGCAGAGAGGCACGCTGAGGTGAGGGCTGGCGCAGACTGGGAACGCTTTGGGGAAGTGCGTCTGTATCCACATACCTGTAGCACTGTGTGCATTTCACTGAATGGTTTGTGACTGCAGCAGATGTGTGGTGCTCTGTAACCAGAGAACCACGTCCCAGAGCTCGCTCTCTCTTTACCTTTCCTTCATCTCCTTTTTTATGCTCGGTTTTCTAGTCTGGGAACTGTTCTTTTTTTTTCTTTCAGTTTTCCTCATTTAATTGTTTTTATTCCATGAATTTAAGATCCTAGAGCTTTCATGTAAACGTGCTCTTTGAGCTTCTTAACTGGTCTTTCCTATCAGCAGAAGGCGATGTTGTGTGCTAAAATCTCAGTGTCAATTCAGTGATTTAATTAGCACGGCTTTACTTTCATTTCCTTCCAGATCCCAAGTATTTCTTCACTTCTATATAGCTGTTTGCTTTTATTTTTGATTAACCATGAAAAAAAAAAAAGTTAATGTGTTTTTACTAGGAATGAATATCTTTTCTCCTTTAGCCAAATGTTGTCTGCCATCCTATTGTTGCTTCAGCTGTGGGACAGCAGGGCACAGGAGACTGACAATGAGCATTCTGCCCAGGGCACCAGCACCCCGCTTTTGCCCTTGCTGCAAAGGTTCCAGAGCATCATTTGCAGGAAGGATACGCCCCACTCCGAGGGTGACATGCACGTGAGTGTCATGATGGAACTTTGTGTTTAGGTGGCACTGGATTCTTGTTATTTTTTAAGTAAGACCAGCATGCGTGTCCACGGCAGTGTTTTTCTCTGCTGTGTGCATATTTGGTGGAAACAGCAGCGAGTCAGATGAGACAGGTGTGGGAGGTCACTTGTTTGTGGAGAAGACTTGAATCAGTGAGCACCGACTTCCTTGTCAGCACAGAACCAAGCTTGAAACACGCACTTTTAAATCAATACCAGAAAAGAACAACGAAAACAGTGGCCTGCTTTGTTGGCCCTTCCTGTGTACTAGGCTCTGTGCAGGGCATGTCACCTGAGTTGTCACTCTGTTGAGTACCAGCTCCCCCCATAACAGGTGTGGATGCCGCGCTCAGGGAGGAGCAGGTGTGCGGGGCCCTGGGCCTGAACCTCCAGGACTGCTGGTCCTTACAGGTCAAGTACAGGTTGGATTTTGCCAGTCTTTTCGGGAAAGTCTTAGGCATTCCAGTATCGTGCTTTGGTTTATTTTTCTATTATTTGGCAGTCTTGAATAATCGTCGGGCTCTTCTGCCTGTAGAAGAATTAGAATTAGGATTTAATTTGCAAATGAAAATAGGTGTTCTCCAGAGCTGGCAAGGTTTAGATTAAAGTAAAGGTTTTGGTTTTGGATTTCAAGGCCAGCTTGAGATGCTGCGCTGGGTTCCCCCAGAGGTGGTTCTGCCTTTCTCCAGGGGTCCTAGGCCTGCGGGGTGGTTTGGTTGTGTTGGTAATCTGTGTGGACTCAACTAACCTGTGGTATCATAAGTGTATACATGCACCGTCAATGTTGTGAACGTGTATACAGCAAATTTAGACATTTGTGCAGTCAGTTTATATGCTGCATAAATATATAGATGTGTAGTATAACTGTATCATCGACATGGTCATTTGATGGGCCACACGAGTAAATACCAAAATATAAAGAGTGGTTTTTTATTTTATTAAGGGCTAATTGTGTTACTTTAATTTTTCCCACCATTTCTGAATGTCTGTTTACTTTTCCTTTCTAGCTTTTGTCTGGCCCTCTGAGCCCCAGCGAGAGTTTCCTGAGGTACCTCACCCTTCCCCAAGACAACGAGCTTGCCACTGATCTGGGACAGACCGTGGTTGTCGTCATGGGCCATTTAGACCGTCCAGCTACGCCCTGTTTGCCTCCGCTGTGTAGCGCTCCGACGTCTCATAAGGTGTGTGCAAGAACCACGTTCTCCGTGTGTTTTGTGGCTAGTACCACCTCTAGGTTCTCATCCTGGGCCCGTGTGGAGACTTGGTTTTCTGGTGTTGATGGGGGAGCTGGCTTGTGGTTTTAAACGTGTTTGCAGTTGAAGGTGTTCCCCGTGTGGAGAGTGAGTGATGAGCAAGCTGAGGTGCACAGGCCTAGGGACCCAACCTGGGGGCCCAGTTTCCAGGTTCAGGTAGCACAGCCCCGGAGAGCTCCCCGTTAGCCACAGCCCCAGGCCCTCCCACCTTCTGCAGGGGGTTCCACAGCCTTCTTTATACTCCGAAGGCGGGCTGTCTTAGTATGTAATGCTGGTTATAGTAGTGACAGTATCATTCTATATTCTATCTGTCATGTAATAGTAATGGTAATAGTAGTGATTTGCATGTGTGGAGCACCTATAGGGTGCAGGCCCGCTGAGGACCTCATGCATGCTGTTGTATCTCATTATGTCAATGAGAAAATTGCGTTTGGGAATGGTGGTGAACTTTGCCAGGGTATAACAGTAATCTTAGTTTTGAATAGATTTTTCTAACATTTTATTTCTAATATGAAGAGTATTTATTTTGTTTTACAGTCATTAAAAGAAAGGAGGCCCCATGCAGTGTCCCACGCCTGTAATCCCAGCACTTTGGGAGGCCGAGGTGGATGGATCACAAGGTCAGTAGATCGAGACCATCCTGGCGAACATGGTGAAACCCCATTTCAATGAAAAATACAAAAAATTAGCCGGGCGTGGTGGCGGGCGCCTGTAGTCCCAGCTACTCGGGAGGCTGAGGCAGGAGAATGGTTTGAACCCGGGAGGTGGAGGTTGCAGTGAGCTGAGATCCCGCCATTGCACTCCAGCCTGGGCAACAGAGCCACACTTTGTCTCAAAAAAAAAAAAAAAAAAAAATTAGGAATACAGTCACATGGTTCAAAAATCAAACCTAGGCAGAGACACACTGTCGCTTTCCCTGCCCACCCTTCTACCCAGTTTCCCACCTGCTCCCTCTGACTTTCCAGTCTCCTCTGTAACCTCCTTGTTCTCTGGAATGAGTACCTAGTGGTAGCAGGTTGCATTACTTGTGGTGTGTTTTTTACTAACCATTTGTACTGGAGTACTTTATCAGAGTATGGCTCTTTGTTTTTATAAAGCAACTTAGTATTCAGTGTGCGGATGTGAGTTTTATGTATCTTTGTTTAGTGAGTCTCTTATTGGTGGACACTTGGGCTTATTGCCACAATGTTGCTATACAAATAGTACTGAGGGCCTGGTGTGGTGACTCACGCCTGTAGTCCCAGCACTTTGGGAGGCCGAGGTGGTGGGATCACCTGAGGTTGGGAGTTTTAGACCAGCCTGGCCAACTTGGAGAAACCCCATCTCTACTAAAACCTACAAAAATTAGCCGGGCATGGTGGCACGTGCCTGTAATCCCAGCTATTTGGGAAGCTGAAGTAGGAGAATCACTTGAACCCGGGAGGCGGAAGTTTCAGTGAGCTGAGATGGCGCCACTGCACTCCAGCCTGGGCAACAAGAGTGAAACTCCTTCTCAAACAACAATAACAACAACAATAAAACAAACACAAATAGTGCTGCAGGGCCTGCCCTGGAACACGTGTGCTCCATGTGTGCACGTGTGTGTGCCTGTGCCCATGCGCAGGTGGGGATGCACCTAGTGCAGGCTGGTTGTCACCAGGTTGCTCCTGCACAACTTGGTTTCTCTCACCGCCGACAGGGATGCTGGTCTCCCAGCCTCGCGTGTGGGCGTTTGGGATTTTGCCTCCTAAAGCACAAAATGGTGACCCTGATGTAATTTGAGCATTTTAAAGTATATTAGTATTTAAGGGCGTTGATACTACTTTTTAATGGGCTCTGTTAAAATGAAACGCGTTGGAAATGGAAAACTAACCTGTTCAGTCGCTTCATCATACCTGTTAAATGAGGTAGTACGGCATGGTACCAGCTATTTTGATGTTTTGAATCAGCATATTTTCTCTTTATTTGCTTTGTTTTTAGCTTATAATATCTCAGTGTTACTCCCAGCCTTTTTTTTTTTTTCTTTTGCTATTGTAAAAGAAAACATTTACTTTCTTATCTTACAGGGATCATTGCAAGAGGTCATAGGTTGGGGGTTAACAGGATGGAAATACTACGCCAATGTGATTGGTCCGATCCAGTGTGAAGGCCTGGCCAACGTGGGAGTCACACAGATTGCCTGTGCAGAGAAGCGCTTCCTGATTCTGTCACACAATGGCCATGTGCACACACAGGCCTACAATAGTGACACACTGGTGTGTGTTCTGGGCACTGTGCCTGCAGTGTTCCCTTGGCGGGCAGGGTCTGTACTGCAGATGCACAAGCTCTGGTCTTTCTTGAGGCCATTTGATTTGTGAAGATTGAGAAGCTTCTGTTTATTGTATATTATGTTTAATGGTCTCAGCTGTAATATTGTCAAGATTTGGGTTGTGAAGGTTAGGAAGTCCTTACAGTGAAACTCATTGCTAATCGTGAGATTCCCGTTTGTAAACTCATTTTCCATGTGTAAACTCATTTGACTTTGTGGCCAGGCAGGTGACAGATGAGGGAGTTGGGCCTCATGGGGATAATGGCACATTGGGACGTGGCATGTTTTTATTAAAGCGGGGTGTTCCTCCCTGTCGGCTGCACGTCTCTGTCGCAAGGAGTAGCCTGCCCTGCCCCTGCATCGGCTCTGGTCTTGCCGCAGAGCACTTGGAGGCTGCCCGCTGTTCTGTTGGTGCTGGGTGGGAAGGGCTGGAGAGCCGGCCCCGTGGCCCGCAGAGACTTATGCCCCACTTCCGGTTAGAGCAGGGTTTGCTCAGAGATACATGATAAAGGAGAGCTGTGCTGATTTCATTTTCCTTGAACTGATGATGACTTTTCTTCCTATTTTTCTTTTTTTAGGCCCCACAGCTGGTCCAAGGCCTTGCCTCCAGAAACATTGTAAAAATTGCTGCCCATTCTGATGGTCATCACTGCGTAGCCTTGGCTGCCACTGGAGAGGTGTACTCCTGGGCTTTGGGGACAGCGGACGGCTGGGCCATGGGGACACTGTGTATGTATCACTCATTCCTGCAGGGACACACTCCTCTTTTATGTTGCCATTTCCTCGACAGGCTGGAGCGCAGGAGTGTGTGCAGGTGTTTTCCAGCTGCCCCGACGTGCAGCGCTGGGGTGGAGCGGGACACTGTGATATGCCCCCTCCTTGGTGACGGCTGAGGAACTCTCTGCCCATGTGTGGAAGGCAATGGGATTCAGCCTTTCTGCTCTTTTCCACCCCGTGCAGCCTTGGCCGCCTTCTCTCTACTCAAACCGCATCCCCACTGTGGAGTTTGCCAGAACAAATCCCACAGCACTGTTCCTTCCTTCACAAACAGTTCCCCCTGTCTCCCATAGATAAGGTTGTCTCCCTTTCCTTCAACCATTAGATTATTTTTACAGGAGCGAAAGTCAGCAGTTTCTTCGTAATATCATCCTATTCGGTGGAACCTTTTATTGTGAAAGAACAGAAATAAAGTTGTTATAAATGCCAGGTTGTAAAAATTGGGAGGTCTGCCAGCCCCATGAGTGGTGGGAACCCTCTTGTACTTTGCTGTTGTGCAGGGAACTCTGGCATTAGGTTTAAATGAAGGATGTATGTACACACCAACCCAGCAAGCCCATTTCATGCGGGCCGGAGCCCTGAGCAGGGAGCGGACAGTGCAGAACTTGAAATGAGCGTAGTCATGACTGCCCTTGTGTCCCTTGAGAGGAGCCTGGAGGGCAGGGGCCATGCACACCACAGGGTGGAGTTGAGGGCATCATTGCCAATGGCATCCGCTGGGAAGATCCCAAACTGGGAGAAAAGCAGAGTGATGTGCATCGTGTGGTACATGTATGCCAAGCTCAGCACAGCCCAACCCTGACAGTGTTGTAAGGGATTCAGACAAATATAAAATGAGTGAAAAACAAAAGATCAATCTCCGTGGAATTTATAGCTGTTACTCTCACATTGGATCCTAAGGGCTGGGATTGACATGGGGTACACGGGATTTGAAAGGCATTGAGGTACAGGACAGGGTGGTGTGTCTGCTTATTTCCTTTAGGTATTACTGACTTTGTATAAAATATTTCATAGTAAAACAATTCTCAGTGCAGAGTAAGTGCTGGGATGAGTAACTTATCCCTTGTTCTAGGACTTCAAGGAAGGAAGAGAGATCAGTGCAGATGGCAGAAGCTGGAGATAACCTTTTGGGGAAGTTGAAACTTAAGCTGAATAAGGGAGAGGTTGTACTCGGGTAGAGTCATTGGACTGTCGCTGTGTGCGCCTGTGCCACTGTGTGTATTTTGCAAACTAGCAGGTCACAAAGTGAGTAAACCATGCCTTTGGAGAGGCCCGGCTTCTATCGATTCTCAAGAAAATGTCATGCAACATAGGAACATATTCTGGATCCTAAGAATAGGATATTTTGTTAACTTTGCAATTTCTTCAACTAGTAAGACTTCTCTACCCTAATCCCCACTGCCTCATAGTTTTCATTTGTAAAATACAGACTGCAGAGTGCTGGCTTCATTCCATCCACATTCATTTAACAAATACCTATAAATGTCAGTCAGCTTTGAGGCTTACGTACAACCAGACGACTGAGTTTCAGGTATAGAGTTGGATGGGTTTTGGCCAGTGCCCTCAGCTGGGGAGTTACCACCATCAAGACATGGGGCGTTCCCATCGCTTCCAGGGCCCTGTTTGTACCCTTTGAGTTGATGCCCACTTCCTCCCTCCAGTTCCTGACAACCTCCGATCTGCCCTCTGTTGTTACTATTTTGTCTTTGTCATAACTGAAGGTAAACAAAGCCATACAGTGTGTGGTGTTTCGTTTCTGGCGTCTTTCACGTAGCATGATGTCCTGAGATCCAGCCGCGTTGCTGGGTGTGTGGGTAATTCCTTCCTTCTGTTGCAGATGGACCGTGGTTTTGGGCCATTGTGAAGAAAGCTGCGGTGGACTTTACTGTAGAAGTCTCTTTTTTTTGAGATGGCGTTTTGCTCTTGTTGCCCCAGTTGGAGTGCAATGGCGTGATCTCAGCTCACTGCAACCTCCACCACCCGGGTTCAAGCGATTCTCCTGCCTCAGCCTTCCAGTTGGCTGGGATTACAGGGGCCCGCCACCATTCCCAGCTAATTGTGTATTTTTAGTAGAGACGAGGTTTCACCACGTTAGCCAGGCTGGTCTCAAACTCCTGACCTCAGGTGATCCGCCCACCGCAGCCTCCCAAAGTGCTGGGATTACAGGTGTGAGCCACCGTGCCCAGCCTATTGTACAAGTCTTTCACACTGTTTTTGTAATTCTACTGGATACCATGCTTGGCGTCAGGTTCCAACTTAACAAAAAGTCATGGAAGTGTTAGGTGTTCAAATTCTCTCTTCCTTATTTTATAAGATACGTGGAAGGTGAAACTGGCCTGATGCTCTCATGGTCTCCATTTGGATAGTGAATTTCCTTTGCTAACACTAATAAGAAATAACACCAAGAAGAAGAGCATTCATGTTTATTCCCTTCCTCCCCAAGTTCTCTGGAGGAGCCTAAGGTGATCTCCGCCTTCTCTGGAAAGCAGGCCGGGAAGCACGGGGTGCACATCACTTGCGGGAGCACTTACAGCGCGGCCATCACTGCCGAGGGGGAGCTGTATACCGGGGGCCGCGGGAACTACAGCCGGCTGGGCCACAGTATGTCTGCCCTGCATGAGTGGGAGCATGCAGCAGGAGGTGGCCTCTCACAGGACTTAGGAACAGCAGTCCTATCTGTTTGAAGGCTCCAGTGAGGACGAGGCCATTCCAATGCTGGTAGCTGGGCTTAAAGGACTGAAGGTCATCGATGTGGCGTGTGGGAGTGGGGACGCTCACACCCTGGCTGTCACTGAGAACGGTACATAGAGCTCTCGCCACCCAGGACAGGGCCTCGAGGACACGCATGGCAGCTTCCCTGGAGGAAGTGAGATGAGTACAGTGGGCCTCACGAGGCCGCCCACCCTGTCGTCCAGTGGGTGTGGGGTCAGTGGCATTGGTGAAGAGGCCGCGGTGGTTATATATGTGTATATATATATTTATATTATTTTCTTCCCTATGCTTGCTTTGAGTTTATTTTGCTGTTGTTTATCTAAGTAGTTGAGGTGGGAGCTTATTGATTTGACAGGGCTTGTTTGCCTGGGGCCTGTCAGCAGATTAGCAGCTGTGTGGGCATTCCTGTGTGGGCATTTTATTTTTTAAGAATGAGAGTTGGGATGGAATGATTGACACTCTGAATTGTCTCTGGTTAGTATTGTTACATTTCTTAACGTTCGGCCACTCTTGATTCCAATCCCTGCTAAGTCTTTCCGTGTTCTGTAGTCTGACGCTGCGGTATCTGTTTGCTTTGAATTTTGCTTTTGGGTTTGTGTTCCTAACTGAGATCATCCTCATCTTTTTTCGAGGGTACATGATGAGGTTTGATGGTTAAAGTGACGTTAATTTTTTAGAAACGACTCGTCTGTCAGTATTGTGGGGCTCTGTCCTTGGCATCTTGTGTGTCTCTGGCGTTGTGGAGTCTTTCTGTGAAATCAGCTGGTACCTGTCAGCTTGCTTTCTCTCCTGCAGAAGTTGAATGGCAGATTGATGAGTGACTTTTGGGGATTTCTTAGGTCAAAGATGAAAAATCATTTCAGATACTTCCCTATATGCATAGGTCCCGCTGCCGTTGCCGGGACTGACATTGTCAGAGCCATCCTGTTTCTGCTACTGTGAGTCCTAGAGCAAAGGTGGTCTCTGAAAGGCTCCTGCTGTCAAGGAGCTTTCAATTGGACATGTCGTCATTTAAAAATATCTATTTTATCGATATCGAGTGAGGGGTAGACCTTAAAATATTTCCTGATTAAAAGTTTTGTGAGGTCTGAGCTGTGTTAGGAGACTAGCTTTGCGTTCTTTAGTGTAGTTGCTACTTTAGTTGAAGTTTATGATGCTACGTTGAGTAAACTGCCTTGAACAGGCTGCGGACAGTGTCTTCCTCTCACTGGTGTTTCTTTGGTGCAGATCTTGTAGGGAAGTGTCCCTGCTGTGCCGTTATTTTCTGAGGCGACAGTTACGGTAGAAGTATCCTACCCTGCAGTCTGGCCTTGGGGGACAGTGGGAAATGCCCAGGCGGGCTACGTGAACAGCATAATCTTCAGCACAGCGTGTGAAAGTGCACCTCTGATCTCTGTGTGCGGGTCTGCTGTGCTGCTTTCATTGACCACGTCATAGTGTGTCATCTCCAGTTTCCGGTTCGCTCGGGGTCGGCCTGCTTTTGCAGGTGGAGTTGTATTGGTGTGCCGGCTTGCCCACTCATTTACGCATTGTCTGTGGCTGCTTTCCTGTGACAGTGGCACAGCTGGGTCGTTGGGACAGAAAGCCCAGAGAGGCTAAAAATATTTACCATCTGATCGTTGAGGAAAATAGTTGCCTATCTTTAGTTATTACAAAATAGAATGTGGGAACTTGTGGAGCAATCTGATATCTTCTCTGATTTCTTTTTCCTGATCTTTTACAGTTTTCACCTTTATGTAATTTCACTTTTTTTTTGTTTGTTTGTTTTTTGGAAGACAGAGTTTCGCTCTGTCACCCAGGCTGGAGTGCAGTGGTGCAGTCTCGGCTCACTGCAACCTCCACCTCCTGGGGTCAGGTAATTCTCATACCTCTGCTGGATTATGGATGTTCACCATCATGCCTGGCTAATTTCTGTATTTTCAGTACAGACAGAGTTTCGTCTTGGTCCCCAGGCTGATCCTGAACTCCAGGGCTCAAGTGATCTGCTGGCCTTGGCCTCCCAGAGTGCTGGGATTACAGGCATGAGCCAGCGTGCCCAGCCTAACAATTTTGGTTTTTAGCAGTTCACTTTCATTAAGTTTTTGCAAAGTTTTCAGCTTATTTTTCACAGTAAAAATAAAACTATTTACTTTTGCAAATGTATTTTATCCCTTTATGTAATATTTAATCAGCTTACATAATTATGCTGATATATGCAGTTGGGAACACGTACAGTGGTACGGTTGACCAGCGGTCAGCACGGTGGCAACAGAAGCAGGCAGGCAAATGGGAGGGTGGTCCGCAAGCGTCTGCAGTGTGCTGGGCCCCAGTTACTGTGTGTCACGGAGGCAGTGGGCCTTTGGTTCTGTGAGGCAGTGAACATTGAGCCCAGGCTAGTAAGAGTCAGGACTTGGTTTTTCATGTAATGAAAACAAAAAGAAAACTCTGCCTTCCCTTTCTTTCTTGCTTCTATATCAACCTCAGGTGTCACCTAGATTTCATTTGCTCAGTAGCCTCCCTTGTAGTATTAACTGTGCACACGGGTGGTCTACATTAGTGTGCGTTTTTCATTAGATTATTGTCAGTCATTTAAAATTTTTCATTAAAATGCCCAGTTGTTGTTATTTAAATGCATTTGTATTTTTTAGGGCAAGTGTGGTCCTGGGGAGATGGTGACTGTGGTAAATTGGGCAGAGGTGGTAGTGATGGCTGCAAAACCCCAAAGCTGATTGAAAAGCTTCAAGACTTGGATGTGGTCAGAGTCCGCTGTGGAAGTCAGTTTTCCATCGCTTTGACGAAAGATGGCCAAGTTTATTCATGGGGAAAAGGTGACAACCAGAGACTTGGACACGGACCAGAGGGACATGTTCCTTATCCAAAACTCTTAGAAGGCTTGCGAGGTGAGTGCAAACGTAAACTGTTAAAACCCTTCAGGACCATTTCTTTAGTGATGTTTTAAAGTTTGCAGGTTTTGTGTTCTTGACCCGACATTCCGTGAATGGACTGTCATGAGAAACTTTGACAGCCGGCTGGGCGCGGTGGCTCAAGCCTGTAATCCCAGCACTTTGGGAGGCCGAGACGGGTGGATCACGAGGTCAGGAGATCGAGACCATCCTGGCTAACACGGTGAAACCCCGTCTCTACTAAAAAATACAAAAAACTAGCCGGGCGAGGTGGCGGGTGCCTGTAGTCCCAGCTGCTCGGGAGGCTGAGGCAGGAGAATGGCGTAAACTTGGGAGGCGGAGCTTGCAGTGAGCTGAGATCCGGCCACTGCACTCCAGCCTGGGTGACAGAGCGAGACTCTGTCTCAAATAAATAAATAAATAAATAAATAAATAATTTTAAAAATTTAAAAAATTAAAAAAAAAAAGAAACTTTGACAGCCGGCTTGGTACAGGGATTGATACTAATTGGAAAGTGGGTGTGTCTCTATTACAAATGACTTTGAATTATTCTTACCAAGTTTAATTTAAACACATTGAGTTTTACAAACATCGCCACTTTCCGTGGCAGGCACCCATTCGTCCCTCAGCAGGCTGGACTCAGGAAGGGTTCCCTCTGCGTGGTGAGGTCACCTGTACTTGTACTGCAGACACACTGAGACCGTGAGGGTGCGTTGTGCTGTGGGGCCACATTGGGAGGTGGGATTGGGTCCACCTGGGACGCTCTGATGTGAACTCGTCCTTGGTGGGGGCTTCCTGCTTGCTCAGTTGCAAAGGTGTCCCGCATGCATTGTAGTTTGAGGGAACAGATGGAAGCCGAGGTGTGTAGATATGAGTGCCGGCGCCTTCAGTGTGGGCTGCGGGTGCAGGCAGAGAGGATGGGGACCTCCGCCAGAAGACCCTGAAATTCTTCTATGGTGTTCTCACTAGGGACGTTACGCTGCAGGAAGTTGGGGTGGGGGCCATCAAAACTGTGATGGCGGAGGGATCTTTCTAAGGTAAAACTGGACTTTTCTGTGCCACTTGGCCTAGTGGTTGGGAGGTAGTCTTCATCCGAGTCGAGCACTGGGGAAGGGCAGGCAAGCTGACAAGAAAGTAGGGAAGAAGGGAAAAGGCAGCGACAGGTACATCAGATGGACTCTTCAGGGTTCTCTCTCTCAGGGGTGGGCGGCCTTTTTCTTAAAGGGCCGGATTGTATTTGAAGCAGGCGGACGTGGCTGTGTTCCAACACCAGCGTCTTCACAGAAGCAGGCCTTGGGCTGCGCTCTGTGTGGGGGCTGTAGTTCGTTGGGTCCTGGTACTACACACATTGTTTGTGTGTTTGCTTCTTTACCAAGTGGGTTTGGAAGTGGGACTTTTAAGTGAGACTTGCCAGTTCCTTTCTCCATGAGTTTTGTTTTAAAGCATGTTAGTATCTTGATGACTGAGAGTTTTGTGTGCCCATACGTTATGTATTATGTTCTGAGCTTCTGAGATAAGTGATGTTTTAATTTCATGTGCCTTCTTATTTATATTCTCCTCCATTAGTATAGGAAAGCTACGACGGTCTTTAGATATAGAAATCGTTTACTTTGAAAGTATTTAAATTACTGTTGATAAACACCTTTTGTTGTTGCTGATGTTAACTTATGGTAGGATCCTAGGATAGAATTGTTCCCCTTACTGCAGTGCGGTTTTTCAACTGAATTATTTTACATGTTGACATTCCTGAGAAACACCCTTTGTGTTGGCCATGTTAGATTTACCAGAAAGGAAAAATAGAATATTTTGTGTTCCTGGTAAACACAATTAATAAGTGTTTAAATAGAAAGAATGTTTTAAATATTGATATCACCTAACTCTGAGAGAAAAATAGATTTCCTCTTAGGAAGCCTTCCTCAGTGAAGAGTGTGCTGTGTATTATTATATCTGGGATGGGAGAATATGATCTAATAGTTAATTAAAAGCACCTTGTTTCTCTCTGAATGAAAATCTGAATGAGGAGGAGAAAAGAGAATACGTTCTTTTCATATCCTAGCATTATGATCTTTGTAGGCCGTGGGTCCTAACAAATTGTAGCTAACAAAATACAGGAGTTCTAATAACACACCCAAATCAAATGAATTGTGCTTAATATTAAAGCAACAGATTATCCTCAAGAAGTTAATATTAAAAGCTTTCTGACCTGAATGGCCGAGTGGAAATACCTGTCTTTCTTGCAGCAGAAGTCCTAGGCTTGAAGCTGCATCTGCATCCCTCTTTCCTTGTAGGGAAGAAGGTGATTGATGCGGCTGCCGGCTCCACCCACTGCCTGGCTCTGACTGAGGACAGCGAGGTCCACAGCTCAGGGAGCAAGGACCAGTGCCAGCACTTTGACACCTTGCGCGTGACCAAGCCAGAACCTGCAGCATTGCCGGGACTGGACACCAAACACACAGTGGGAATTGCCTGTGGGCCTGCCCAGGTACGGAATATAGAGCTTGATTTGGTGTTTAGGAGGATTTTGGTTTCCAGTTGTTCATTACCAGTATATAGAAAATACCACTGAGTTTTGTTTGCTGTTCTTACATCCCACAGTTGTGCTAAACTCATTTATTATGAACTTCATTGTCGTTTCCTTGGGTTTTCTTCATGAACAATTATACTGTCTGTATAGAGGGGCAGTTCCATTTCTTCCTTTCCAATCTGCCTGCCTTTTATGTCTTTTCCCGGCCTGGTTGTCCTGGCCAGGACTTGCGGTGTGAAGCTGAGTAGGAGAGGGGACAGTGGGTGCCCCGCCTTGCTCCGGACTGTAGGGGAGGGCAGTTCAGTCTTTCACCATCGGCTGTGATGTTGGCTGCGGGTGTTTATGTAGATGCCTTATTCCCAGATTAAGGCAATTTCTTTAATTCCCCCTTTTAGAAGCTTTTAAAAAATCCTGAATGGATGTTAAAATTTGTTAAATGCTTTTAATCATCTCAAATGAAATGGTCCTGCAGTTTTCCTTCTTTAGTGTGTTAATATGGGATATTATATTGATGATTTTTACTTTTTTTTTCTTAAACTTTTTTTTTTCTTCCTTAGACATAAGGTTTTACTATGTTGCCCAGGCTGGTCTTGAACTCCTGAGCTCAAGTGATCTGCCTGCCTTGGCCTCCCAAAGTGCTGGGATTACAGGTGTGAGACACTGCACCAGCCTGATTTTTAAATACTGAGCAAGCCTCGTATTCCTGGGATGCGCATCACTTGGCCACAATTTACCACCCTATTTCTTTTCTTTTCTTTTCTTTTTTTTTTTTTTTTGAGACAGAGTCTCGCGCCGTCACCCAGGCTGGAGTACGTTGGTGCAATCTCAGCTCTCTGCAACCTCTGCCTCCTGGGTTCAAGCAATTCTCCTGCCTCAGCCTCCTGAGTAGCTCAGATTACAGGTGTGCACCACCACGCCTGGCTAATTTTTGTATATATTTTTTTTTTTTGGTAGAGATGGGGTTTCATCATATTGGCCAGCCTGGTCTCCAGCTCCAGACCTCAAGTGACCCACCCTCCTTGGCATCCCAAAGTGTTGGGATTAGAGGCGTGAACCACCACGCCCGGTCCTGTTCTGTTTCTATCTTGCTAACTTTGACTTGCTAACACGTTGTTGAGGATTTTTCTGTTGATGCTCATCAGGGATGTTGGTTTGTGGTTGTCTTTCTTTGTATTATACTGTCTTGTCTGACTTTCTGTCAGGGGGAACCTGACGTTATACAAAGTATTGGCGTGTATTCCCTCTGTTTCCGTTTTCTATAAGGGATTGTGTAGAATTAGTGTTATTTCTTCTTTAAATGTTTTTGAATCCATCTGAGCCTGGAGATTTCTTTCTATAAGATTTTACGCCAGGCGCAGTGGCTCATGCCGGTAATCCCAGCACATTGGGAGGCCGAGGCGGGTGGATCATCTGAGGTCAGGAGTTTGAGACCAGCCTGGCTAACATGTTGAAACCCCATTTCTACTAAAAATAAAAAAAATCAGTCGAGCTTGGTGGCATGCACCTGTAATCCCAGCTACTCAGGAGGCCAAGGCAGGAGAATCGCTTGAACCCGGGAGGCGGAGATTGCAGTGAGCCGGGATCGCACCATTGCACTCCAGCTTGGGCAACAAGAGCGAAACTCCAGCTCAAGGGAAGAAAAAAAAGATTTTACAAATTCCATTTCTTTAACAGATCTAGAACTATTCAGATTACCTGTTTGTTTCTAGGAGGATTTTCCTGGTTTGTGGCGCTCAGACATGGCTTTACTTATCTACATGGTCTGATTTGTACGTGTCGAGTTTTGCGTGGTGTCTCTTGCTAACCTGTCTGACGTCTGTGGGGCCTGCAGTGATGTCCCTTCATTCATTCCTGATACTGGTAAGTTGTATCTTTTCTGCTTTTTTCTTTGTCAACTTTGCTAGAGTTTTTCAATTTTGTTGATCTTTTCAAACAACAATCTTTTAGTGTCATTAATTGATCCCTTGCTTTTTTTGCTTTCAATCTCATTGATTTCTGCTTTTATCTTGTCATTTTTCCCTTTGGCTTGTTTTGCGTTCACTTTGCTCTTTTTCTAGTTTCTTAAGGTGGAAGCGTAGATTGCTGATTTACATCTATCTTTTTTGTAATACGTAATCATTTGAGGCTATAAATTTTCCTCTAAGCAGTGTTTTAATTAAACCCACAAATTTTGGTGTGTTTTCATTTATGTTCAAAATATTTTGTAATTTCTCTTGAGAATTGTTCTTTGACCCATGGATTATTATTATTATTATTATTATTATTATTATTTCAAGATGGAGTTTTGCTGTTGTTGCCCAGGCTGGAGTGCAATGACATGATCTCGGCTCACTGCAACCTCTGTCTCCCGGGTTCAAGTGATTCTCCTGCCTCAGCCTCCTGGTTAGCTGGGACTACAGGTGCCCGCCACCATGCTCAGCTAATTTTTTTGTATTTTCACTAGAGATGGGGTTTCTCCATGTTGGCCAGGCTGATCTTGAACTCCTGGCTTCAGGTGATCCCCCCGCCTTGGCCTCCCATAGTGTTGGGATTACAGGCGTGAGCCACTGCACCCAACCTGACCCATGGATTATTAAGTATGTTTTTAAATTTTGAAATGTTTGCAGATTGTTCTGTTAATGATTTCTTAGGGAAAACAAACTGTATATGATTTCATTTCTTTTAAATGTGTTAAGATATATGTCTCAGGATATGTTCTCTCTTAGCGAACATCCTGTATGTGCTTAAAAAGTGTATGTATGGTTCAGGCGCGGTGGCTCAAGCCTGTAATCCCAGCACTTTGGGAGGCCAAGGTAGGCAGATCACGAGGTCAGGAGATCGAGACCATCCTGGCTAACACGGTGAAACCCCGTCTCTACTAAAAATACAAAAAAATTAGCCGGGCGTGGTGGTGGCCGCCTGTATTCCCGGCTACTCGGGAGGCTGAGGCAGGAGAATGGCATGAACCCGGGAGGCGGAGCTTGGAGTGAGCCGAGATCTTGCCACTGCACTCCAGCCTGGGCAACAGAGCGAGACTCCATCTCAAAAAAAAAAAAAAAAAAAAAAGTATACGTATTTTGCTGTTGTTGGATGAAGTGTTCTATAAATTAGATCCAATTTATCGATGGTGTTCTACAGTTCTCTTAGATTTTTGCCGATGACTTGTTCTCTCACTATGAAAGGTAATGTGTGTGTTCTATGCATCTAACAATTCATTGTCTAGTTAGAGTTGCTATTGTACCACTTCAAGTGGATGGAGATCCTCATTGCCATCCATGAATGTGCATTTATCATTTTGAGAGTGAAAAGATTATTAAGGCCGGGCGCGGTGGCTCAAGCCTGTAATCCCAGCACTTTGGGAGGCCGAGACGGGCGGATCACGAGGTCAGGAGATCGAGACCATGCTGGCTAACACAATGAAACCCCGTCTCCACTAAAAATACAAAAAAATTAGCCGGGCGTGGTGGCGGCGCCTGTAGTCCCAGCTACTCGGGAGGCTGAGGCAGGAGAATGGCGGGAACCCGGGAGGCGGAGCTTGCAGTGAGCCGAGATCGCGCCACTGCACTCCAGCCTGGGCGACAGAGCGAGACTCTGCCTCAAAAAAAAAAAAAAAAAAAAAAAGAAAAGATTATTAAAATTGCTTTTACTTTTTTAGGTATGGCCAAGTGAGATGGGGCTAGTGAAATGGGCGGGAAAATTGGAAGCTGACAGTGTGTGAGCTAGACACCCATGAATGCCTTTGGACTGGGCGGTGAGAGGGATGAGAGGTGATAATGTAAGGCGGCTCCATCACACATGCTGGGGACTCCTGTTGAACAGACCAGCAGCTGCATTTGGAGATTCATTTTCGATTGTTGCATTTCCTCTTAGAGCTTTGCTTGGTCATCGTGTTCTGAGTGGTCCATTGGACTCCGTGTCCCTTTTGTGGTGGACATTTGCTCAGTGACTTTTGAGCAGCTGGATCTCCTGCTGCGGCAGGTGAGGGAGGGGATGGACGGCTCCGCGGACTGGCCCCCACCCCAGGAGAAAGAGTGCGTGGCTGTGGCAACGCTGAAGCTTCTACAACTTCAGGTGCTCACAATTTCCCTTCTTCTTGCTCCTTTTATAAGTGTCTTAGGGATTTGTAAGAAGGTTTATGTATTTTGAAAGGCATGGGTTTTATCCTATTCGGTGAAGTATTTTAAAGTAAGATTGTAATGCGCTTATAATGGATGTGAGGCTGAAACAACTTGATCTGGTTATTTTATGTTTGTGGTGGAAGTCAGCCTCGGCATGCAGGAAGAGCATGCATGGATTGTGTTATTTTTGCTATGATGAGTGTGTCAGCATTCTTCCTGTTTTACTGTTGTTGTGTGTGGAGAAGTGACTGGGTGAGATCACAGGTGATGGAGGGAGGCGGTGCTCAGCTGAGAGACCAGTGTTGGCCCCTCTCTCCTCTGTGCTGTGAAAACCCTGCTCCAGGAGTGTCCAGTCTTGGTTTCCCTGGCCACGCTGGAATAATTGTCTTGGGCTACACATAAAATACACTAACGATAGCTGATGAGCTTTAAAAAAATCGCAAAGCATATCTCATAATGTTTTAAGAAAGTTTACTTTGGACCGCATTCAAAGCCGTCCCGGGCCACGTGCTGCCCTCAGGTTGTGGGTTGGACAAAGCTGATCTACTCAGTAAGCTCGGCTCCCTAGAGCAATACCTTCCTTTCCTCACCATGAAGGTTATGGCTGCGGTCAAAATAAAAGCTACAAAAGTCTTCCTTCCTGGTAAAACTAAAGCTGAAGTCTTTGATCATCATATTTTCTTTGTCTTTGTCATAAAACCATATAACTTAATGATAAGAACCACGTTTTCTCGACATAGTAACTTCCCTTTTATTACACAATGATTTCTGTGTAACAACCCATCATGTCCCTCTTCCAGCCCCTCCCCTTTTTGCCCTGCTTCGAGAATCTACAGAACTGAGTGTAGTGTTTGGTTGCAGTGATGAACTGAGCAGAGGTTTGGAGCGTGCTTCTCCTCCTGCAGTCCTCTGTAGCACTCACGTGTCGCCATACCTGTGGCGTCCTGGCGTTTGCGTGGGTGCCCCTGGTGTTTGCTGCTCCTCCTGGTTTGCAGTGATGCTTCTGTTCTGGTCAGTGCTGTGGAGCGTGGCCTTGTGTATGTCTCAGGCTGTCGAGGTGTCCCAGCGTCTGGTTTTGCATTTGCCTCTCCGGGGTTCTGAGGGTTCTGTGGGTTTCACAGACCGTAGATGAGTTTTGATGCTCATTTCCTGACCTGTGATATCTATACCTAGATGAGCGATATGTTTCTGATTTCACTTCTACTCACAGGGCAAGGCCGGGTCTCTGATTTCTCGTGGGGTCTCTTGCTACCCAAAGCCCGGGACGGCAGTGTGTTGCGCCCTGGCTGTGGGTGGCTGGCAGGCAGGTGATCCTGAGCGGCTCCCAGCCTTCTGCAGGAAGCTGGGGTTCAGTGGGTCCTTGTGTGCATTCCCGTGTGGGAGGTTGTTCTGAAGCCTGGCGGCTCGGCTCTGCCTTCAGAGCCCGGAACCTCTTGACTCCTGCAGTGTGTGCCCGTGTGAGTTCGGTTTTGCACTTGAGGAGTTTCCTTGTGTACTCTCAGCTCCGCAGTCTAATTTTTAGCAGCTTTTTAAAAATTGAGACAGGGTCTCACTTTGTCACCCAGGCTGGAATGCAGTGGTGTAATCTTGGCCTCCCAGGTTCAAGTGATTCTCCTGCCTCAGACTCCCAAGTAGCTGGGACTACAGGTGTGTACCATCATGCCCAGGTGATTTTTTATAGACATGGGGTCTCACCATGTTGGCCAGGCTGGTCTTGAACTCCATCTCAAGTGATCTTCCCACCTCGGCCTCCCAAAGTCCTGGGGTTACAGGCATAAGCCACCGCCTGTGGCCGCTTTTTTGGTTACATCGTAGCCTTTCTTTCTGTGTTTGGTGGGGATTGTCGGGGCGGGCGGGGCGGGGGTTGCTGTTGCTGGTTGTTTAGCTCCTCTGCTCATCTTGAGCTTTTCCATATACGTGTTCATGGTGGGACTGAAAATTCCTCTAGAAATACTTCAACTATTGTGGGTAAGAGGTTTTCTGGTCCGGTTTTTAAAAATACATAAACTGAGAAGTTACTTTATCTATTTAAATAATACTTCAAAGTGAGTTTTATTCAGTGTTTAATAAGACTTTGAAATTCACTCATTTCTCAAGCCTGTAATCCCAACACTTTGGGAGGCCGAGATGGGCGGATAACGAGGTCAGGAGATCGAGACCATCCTGGCTAACACGGTGAAACCCCGTCTCTACTAAAAAATACAAAAAATTAGCTGGGCGCGGTGGCAGGCGCCTGTAGTCCCGGCTACTCGGGAGGCTGAGGCAGGAGAACCGCGTAAACCCGGGAGGCGGAGCTTGCAGTGAGCTGAGATCCGGCCACTGCACTCCAGCCTGGGCGACAGAGCGAGACTCCGTCTCAAAAAAAAAAAAAAAAAAAAGAAATTCACTCATTTTTAGGGGTTCTAAGTGAAAATCATTTTTCTCCTGTCAGTTGCATGCTGCCATTAGTCACCAGATTGACCCAGAATTGTTTGATTTAGGTCTGGGCAGCGACCTCCTGAACAGCCTGAAGCAGACGGTGGTGACCCTGGCCAGCAATGCGGGCGTGCTGAGCACCGTGCAGTCGGCCGCCCAGGCCGTGCTGCAGAGCGGCTTGTCCGTGCTGCTGCCCAGCGCCGAGGAGCGGGCCGGGCACTCTCTGCTCCCCTGCCCTGCGCAGGTGGGCTTGGGGAAGGAACAGGAGAGGGCATGGGTCAGGATGCTGGGAGAGGATGGCGTTTCACTCAAATTGGCACACACTTTCTCTTTCAGTTTCAGGCAATGACGTGAACATAAGTCGAGGTTGTCAATTCATTAGTGATCTTCTGGTGGGCAGCTTGATGACTGCTGGAGGGTTGGAGTCAGCCTTACACGCAGCCATTACTGCAGAGATCCAGGTATGGCCTTGGAGGCACACGTGACCTGGTGGTGCTCTGAGATCGGAAATACCACACTTACGCACGAAGAATAACTGAAAACAGTAAAACTAAACTTGTATGATATCCAAGTATTTTTAAAAATTCTTTTATGTGCTAATTTAAACAATTACTGAGATATGATTTAATTGCGAAATCCTGGGTGTTGTCTGTTTCAGTGAAGTTAACAGGTAACCTGTCCATCACGTAGACTGTTCCCATCACCCGGAAAGATCCCTGTGCCCCTTGGCACTCGCAACGGGGACGCTCCCCTGCCCTCAGATGAGATTCATTTTCCTGCTCTGAGTGTTGCAGCAATGTAGCTGCAGAGGCTGCACTCTTTCCTGCGTTGCCTTGGAGAAGGATTTTCGGATTCACTCACACTGTTGTGTGTCTTGTGACTTGGTTTTTATTATTGGGAAGTTTTCCATTTTATAGGTGCAGTGCTGGTTGTTAGTTCATTCTCCTATTGAAGGACATTTAATTGTTTTTGGTTTTTTCTTTTTTTTTTTTGAGACAGGGTCTTGCTCTGTCACCCAGGCTGGATGCAGTGACCTGATCTTGGTTCACTGCAGCCTGGTCCTCCTCGGTTCAAACGATCCTCCCACCTCAGCCTCCTGTGTTGCAGGGACCACAGTCAGGTCACAATGCCCGGCTAGTTTTTTGATTTTTTTGTAGAGACAAGGTTTCACTATGTTGCACAGGCTGGTCTCGAACTCCTGGGCTCAAGTGATCCCCCAACCTTGGCCTCCCAAAGTGTTGGGATTACAAGCGTGAGCCACCGCGCCCAGGCTTTCTGGTTTTTGGCCGTGTAGAGCTGCCACGATTGTGCTGTGTGCAAGTACTTCAGTGAACATATGTTCTCCCTTAGGGTAAACACTTGGAGTGGAATTTGTTAGGTCCTGGGGTAAGTAGCTGTTCATGGTTTCCCAGAGTGGCTTTGCCGTTTACACTTGAACCAGTGTGTGTGAGAATTCTAGCTTCTTGTCCTCACAAAGCAGCTGGATGCTGCGTGTGTGGGGCGGATCCCATGGGTGTTTGTGAGAGCCAGGAGCAGGGTTAAGGATTTTAGGGACTTCACAGAAGGAGGCTGGAGAGCATCAGCAGAGGCCGCCTGGACCTTGGATCTGTAAAAAGAAGACACTGAAACTGCACAACTGAGTTGGGGTTTCCAACAGGGCAGGTGTGGGCCTTACGTGGGTAGGTGTGTGCGGTGGCACTCACAGGCTGGGATAGCTTGGCCCTGGGGTCAGGGCTCAGCCAGCCTGTGTGCCTTCACACCTGCTAATGAGATCCCTTGTAAACAGTGTCCGTTTATGAATTCCAGGTTATTGAAGCCCAAAAAGAAGCACAGAAGGAAAAAGAAGTTGATGAACAGGAAGAAAATGCCTCAACATTTCATAGAAGCAGGACTGCATTGGATAAAGACCTTGTTAATATGGGAATCTGTGAGTCTTCTGGCAAACGGTGTTTACCTCTGGTTCAGCTCGTACAACAGCTTCTTAGGTAAATCGTATTAGCTGTATTGTATTGTATTGTATTGTATTGTATTGTATTGTATTGTATTGTGTTGTATTGTATTGTATTTATTTACTTTTTTTTTTTTTTTTTTTTTGAGGCAGAGTTTCGCTTTTGTTACCCAGGTTGGAGTGCAGTGGTGCAATCTTGACTCACCACAACCTCTGCCTCCCAGGTTCAAGCGATTCTCCTGCCTCAGCCTCCTGACAAGCTGGGATTACAGGCGTGTGCCACTGCACCCGGCTAATTTTGTAGTTTTAGTGGAGATGGAGTTCCTTCACGTTGGTCAGGCTGGTCTTGAACTCCTGACCTCAAGTGATCCTCACGCCTTGGGCTCCCAAAGTGTTGGGATTATAGGCATTAGCCACCACGCCCGGCCTATTTATTTACTTATTAAAGCTTTTTTTTTTTTTTTTTTTTTTTTTGAGACAGAGTCTTGCTCTGTTGTCCAGGCTGGAGTGCAGTGTCACGATCTTGGCTCACTGCAACCTCTGCCTCCTGGGTTCAAGCTATTCTCCTGCCTCAGCCTCCCGAGTAGCTGGGACTACAGGCATCTGCAACCACACCTGGCTGATTTTTGTATTTTTAGTAGAGACACGTTTTCAGCATATTGGTTCAGGCTCGCCTCCAACTCCTGACCTCAGGTGATCCACCTGCGTTGGCCTCTCAAAATGTTGGGATTACAGGCGTTAGCCACTGTGCCTGGCCTGTATTGTGTTTTAATAGGTGATTATTGGTTTTCATATTAAGATAGTGAAATCCAGCACAAGGATCTCAAAAATCTGATGATGGAAGGAATATTCTGAAAATTATCTAGTACAGATGTTAGGATAAAGAGCAGACCTTTTTCAACATAGGTGAGAGGAGAATTTGGAGGGTATGATGATATTCAAAAGTTTTTCACAGAAGAGAAATTGAGGTGTGCAGTAAACATGTAAAAAGATTCTTAGTAATAAGCACGTGGATGCAAATAAAAATCATCATGGAAGGTTATTTTTAAAAGTGGTTCTATCATTGCCTCACTTTATATACTACAGAGTTATACATACTACTTTGTAAGGTAATTTTTCTTTTCAAAACTAAAGTCAATGTGAAATACTGGTGAGCATTGTTTTTGAAGGCCGGACTAGGAGGAGGTGGGAAGAAGTCAGACTCAGCCAGTGGACAGAGGCTAACCTTGGCAGAAACCAAAACGGTCAGGCAGTGTTGTGTAAAAATGATCGCTCAAGAGGAGCGGAAGAGCAAGGTGATTTGTGAGAGAGATTTATTAGACAATGAAACACATTTATACCTCTATTTCATAAAAGTCTGCTGTTTGTAAACTCGTGCTCCTGATTTTTGTTTCTACACATAGAGAAAGCAGGGCCTTGGCAGGTTGGATCAGGCAGCCGAGCACAGAGCAGGGAGCCCTGGGCAGTGGCCCCAGCTCTCAGCTGGCCTGTTCATGGGGCCATGGTAGGTCTGCAGCGTGGGGTGGGCCTGCAGCGTGGGGTGAGCCTGCAGCGTGGGGTGGGCCTACAGCGTGGAGTGGGCCTGCCGTCCACAGCCAGAAAAATGAACTTAGTGGACACAAGTGCTGGGATTACAAGCATGAGCCACTGAACCCGGCTATTATTACAATTAATTTCATGTGGTTTTTTTTTTTTTTTTTTTTTTTTTTGAGACGGAGTCTCGCTCTGTTGCCCAGGCTGGAGTGCAGTGGCCGGATCTCAGCTCACTGCAAGCTCCGCCTCCCGGGTTCACGCCATTCTCCTGCCTCAGCCTCCCGAATAGCTGAGACTACAGGCGCCCGCCACCTTGCCTGGCTAGTTTTTTTTTTTTTTTTTTTTTTGTATTTTTTAGTAGAGACGGGGTTTCACCGTGTTAGCCAGGATGGTCTCGATCTCCTGACCTCGTGATCCGCCCGTCTCGGCCTCCCAAAGTGCTGGGATTACAGGCTTGAGCCACCGTGCCCAGCCTCATGTGGTTTTTTGTTTGGTTTGTTTTGCTTTTTTCCCCTGAGATGGAGCCTCACTCTGTTGCCCGGACTGGAGTGCAGTGGCAGGATCTCAGCTCACTGCAGGCTCTGCCTCCTGGGTTCAAATGATTCTCCTGCCTCAACCTCCTGAGTGGCTGGGACTAAAGATGCGTGCCACCATACCTGGCTAATTTTTGTACTTTTAGTAGAGATGGGGTTTCACCATGTTGGCTGGGGTGGTCTTGAACTCCCAACCTCAGTTACTCTGCCCCCCTCGGCTTCCCGAAATGTTGGGATTACAGGTGTGAGCCACCGCACCTGGCCATGTTTGTTAAGACAGCTAAGAACATGTTGAATTGCACCTGTGGCTCCACTGGTGTCCTGGGCAGGTGGCTTTGTGCTGTCCACACAGGTTGTCTCCTGTGTCTTCATCTTCGCTGCATGTGACTCTTTGGTTCTTTTGGCACGTGGGGTCCCGTATGGGACATTGGTTCTACAGTTGATTTATAATAAGGATGTACCTACTAAAAAAATAGAATAGAAACAAACATAGTTATCACCTCAGCAAAATTTTGTAAAATAGAAAAAGAAAAATGCATTCACAGCTTTTCAGTAGCCGATAGTCCAGACCGTTTCATAAGCGTGGATAATGTGTCCGTCTCCCACACCGATAGACAATGTTTTCTCACCCTAAGTGTTTGTGATCGAAGGATTCTTGATGTGTTGACTTGGCGGATGCGGTTCTTGAACAGTAGTTTCTCTAAAGATTGTAAGAGACTTTTGGGTACATTTCATGTCCTTTTTTCCCTTGGAAGACCTGGGTTGAAGAAATTGCTGCTTGCTAAAAATAAGCCGTGAAATGGATTTCAGAGTAACTCTTTAGTTACATGCCGGCCAGGAGCCACAGAACACCATTTCCATTTGAAAATAGAGCGCCGTGAAGTTTTTGTAAGTAGTAAACCCCATCAGAATTACACGTTTTGATTATGGCTCTAAATTTTATATGAACGAAATAAATTTAAAATGTCACTCTATTGTATTACTGTCTCTTGCTCCTTCAGGTGTAGCTTCCACGCTAGATTCTAGCCCTGTTTCTTGTGTTACAGTGGGGTTATCCAGGCAGGTTATCAGGTAGTGAGGCTGAAAGGTGATGTCGAATGGTGTGGTGAGCCCAGTGGGGGCGCATCCTTGTGTGTGTGATGAGGGCCTGTGGGTTGCTGTGGGATTCCCAAACCCTGGCTCCTCTGTCTCCTGCTTCTGTCCTTACTCACACTGCTGGTAGTTTTCTCATGTGCACCACAATGCAAGTGGGATTGACAAGCCTGCTGTCACATTAGGAACCTGAGTTAAAGTGGACCTGAAAGCATGTCTTCCTTCACCCTTGATGTTGTGCAGAGAGCCACTTGTGCGCCTGGCTCAAAGGGGCGGGTCTGGAACCAGGCCCTGGTTCGGCTCTCCTCCCCTCCATGTTGCCCTGTCCTGTCTGATTTGCTTTCACACTGACATGAGTTACTTTCCTCGGCCTCCCAAAGTGCTGGGATTACAGGCAGGAGCCGCCGCGCCTGGCAGCAGCCTTTCAAGTACTGGGGTCCACCCAAGCTCCCAGCTGGTCCCTCTTTATCCCAAAGGACCTGCCACCATCTTTGGTTTCCAAAGCCCAGCGGGGTCCAGGCTCTTCAGTCTCCAACCACTTTGCATTTCTTTTCTGCTTTTCATTCATGGAGATAATGAGTAACTTATTTTTCAGCTTGGGCATGTCTTTTTTATTTACTTTATTTTTTATTTTTATTTTTTGAGATGGAGTCTCACTCTGTCACCCAGGCTGGAATGCGATGGCGGGATCTCGGTTCACTGCAACCTCCAGCTGCCGGGTTCAAGTGATTCTCCTGCCTCAGCCTCCTGAGTAGCTGGGACTACAGGTGTGCACCACTATGCCCAGCTAATTTTTACATTTTTAGTAGAGACGGGATGTTGCAATATTGGCCAGGCTGTTCTCCTGGCCTCAAGTGATCCTCCTTCCTCGGCTTCCCAAAGTACTGGGATTACAGGCGTGACCACCACGCCCGGCCTTTATATACTTTATATATCTCCCCTACTAGTGCCGCAGTCTGCCGAAGAGAGGATGCCCTCAACCCTAACTTCTCCAAACCATCCCAAAGGGGACGTCTGCTCCACGTCAACAGTGTTGTTGTTTTTAAAGACCATCTGTCTGTCTAGATGCCAGATTATAGCAAAAGGATGTCGAGGGAGCGATATGAAAGCAAGCCTGAGAGTCCTGGAGAGAAGGTGGCCGAGCTGCCTTCGGAGGTGGTCACTCCCTCAGACCCTGCCCTTCCTGCCTTGTTCCTCCAGTTGTCAGATTTGCTATTGGGGCCCTCACGAGGGAGGAGGTGAGGCTGGACTGGGAGGGAGATGGAGAAGCTGCCGGGGCCCTTTGGGATCCAGAATGGAGGCAGCAGTTCCAGCCAGGTCTGGAGGTGGGAGCTGCCCCCCAGCCCCCAAGGGAATGGTACCAATTCCAAAACGTGGCAAGAACTCCCTGGTCGGGAAAAGGAGGTGTTTGGTCCCTTGAATCACCTGAGCCCAGGCTGGAAGGCCCAAGGGGGAGGATGAGGCCAGCTCACTCCAGCTCCATCCCCTCCCTTTAACCCTGAGCTGGTCAGCCTCCCAGACTCCAGGCCCTTTTCCTAAGTGCCCTCCCTGCAGAGTCTGCACAGAGCCGCGCTCCCTCGCACCAGCTCACCCCGTACTGTCTCGTCTTTCAGCAACCCCATGGGTTTGAACTTGAGATGATTCATTTTCCTAAAAGCCTCTTCGCGCTGAGGGAAGGCATGGGTGGCTCTGCGAGTTTTGAAGTGAGGGCTGCCTCTTCTCAGAGCTGCTGTGAGGGCCGGGGCCACCCTCCAAAGTGGTGTCTGTGGGCTGGGCAGCAGCTTTGCTGGCAGCCTGGGTCATCCCCACTGGTCTGGGAGGCTCGAAGGCACAAGCTCCTACTCCCGATAGGGCCAAGGCACCTTCTTTACCTAAGAGCTGACTGTCTTGAAGAGTGGGCACAGAGGAGCCAGCAACCTGGGCAGTGTGGGCACCCGGGAGAACATCTGCAGATCAGTCTCAGAGAGAAATCTCCTCCAACACAGCTATTGTAGAGATGGGGAAACGAGGCTGAGAGGGAAGGGGGCGTGCCCAAATCACCAGGCCTGGAATATTTGAGCTTTGGGGGTGGATCTCCCAGGAAACGTGTTTTATGGCACCTCCGCCTCTGGTCACCCACCCCGAGGTGTGGCGGGCCTGGACAGCCAGCTTGACTGAGGGCCAGGCTGGTGAAGCCAAACCTACCACTCAGGAAGGAGACCCAGACCTTCTCCAGACAGAGTTTAAATCTGAAGACTCCCTTCTTTGGGCCTCAGTTTCCCCACCTGAATTCCAAGGACTCTTCTAGCTCCTACGTTCTGCGCCAAGCATTTCCTCTGAGCCCCAGTCAGCCTAGAGGACCAGGGCTACATCTTCCTTGGACAGAGACCCACCATAGGGGCAGCAGGAGGTAGGGGTGGGGGTAGGCAAGGTTCCTGAAGGGAGGTGGAGCTGTCATTAGAGATGGTGTCCACAGGCAGTGGGTGTGTCGTGGCTCTGCTACTACTTGCTGGGTGACCCTGTGCCATTTCTTTCCCCACTCTGGACCTCAGTTTTCCTATCTGTTCTATAGAGATGAGATGCCTGCCTACGTATTTGGGGACTTGGATGTGTGTGTGGGGCAGTTGCAGTGTTTCTTAGGTGTATTCCTGGGGCAGCCTGCATCACCCCATAGAGATTTCCGGGCCCCACCCTAGGCTCACAGGACCGGAATCTCCGAGAATGAAGCCTGGGAACTTGCATTTACACAGGCATCCGGGTGATTCTGACATGATTGAAAACGCACTAATAGTATGTGGCAAGTTCTTTATAAAAGGTAAATTCATAGCTGCCTTTCACTAAACATAAATCTCACCTTCCCTTCCTCAGTGAAGGACACACACCCCAGTTGAAAGTCACTGTGCCCTTCCAGATGCAGAATCTGACCTTTCCAATAAGATTCTGTTAACTGTTGCTTTCTGTAGTTTGTATTCCAAAACAAGAGAAATAGCTTTCCATTTTTTCAATATAAATGTTGAAGTCGGATATGCTTTTTCAAACTAGACACACACTCACACAGTTTAGAATTTCAGCTACGGCTTCCTTTCAAATTATCAGCCCATTTCTGCCAGGGAGCAGTTTTTCCAGACAAGACCCTGGACAGAGGCTGGTGGGGACCCCTCCTCATCAGAATCACTGGATCATGACTGACCCCTAGAGGCGGCTTCTCTGCTTAACTGTCAGCCCGTGGGCTGGGATGTGACCCCCAAAGCTGCAGCAGAAGCTTCCGCCCATCCTGGGCCCCCTGTCATCTGTGGGGAAAGGCCTGTTCCTTGTCTTCTGAGCCCAGCCGGCCTCCCAGTCATTCCGCAGATTCCAGGTGAAGCATGTGCTGTGCTTGGCTGGGCTCTCCTGCGCCCTTTTTTGGGGTGAGGCGGAGTGCATTCCAGCCTCAGCATCCCTGCCATTTATTCCCTCCCCTCATCCCCACCCCCATACACACTCACAAGTACAAACACAGGCACAGTCACGGGCACACACCGCCCTGGACAGCACCATATCCAGCCTCGGCAGGGCAGTGTCCTTACAGGGAAGTTAATGAAGCACTAAAAAAGGCTCAGGGGACAGGGAGAATCTCTGTCGAGAAGCGGCTCCTAGACCCAGTTCTGTCTCTGACTTGCTGGGTGCCCTTGAGAAAGTTGCTTTCCCTCTCTGGTCTCAGTTTCCTCAGCTGAGAAATGGGAGAGGGGGCCAAATGGTCTAAGGTTCTGGGAACCTCCAAGTCAGAGCCCGTAGCTGGTGGTCAAGATGAGGGAGAGGCCCTCAGGGTCAGCTGAATGCTTGAGAGGCAGGACAGGCCCAAAGGTGAGCAACCTGTACACATCAGGTGGGCTCAGAGCTGGTGCATGAGCCCCACAGCCTGCAGAGCAGCCCTGGACTCAGGAGCCCGCTCACACCAGCCCGGTGGGACTGTAGAGATACGGGGTCCAGCCTCTCCTACTGTTGCAGGGCTGGGGCTAGTAGCTGCAGATTCTGACCCCACAACTGCCTTAGACATGCCAGACACACCTATGAAATGAGCAGTCAGTCCAAATAGATGCACTAAAGAAGGGCTGTGGGACGGACCCAGCTGTAGCCTGGGCTACAGACAGGCTTCCAGGGTACTCAAGCAGCTGGCCTCTGGGTTAGCAGCCCCGGGTGTGAGAGGCAGGACTCAGAATCTAGGCCAAGCCTCCACAGCAATCCCCTCTGGAGAGCCCGGGCACTCTGCAGGAGGGGCAGCAGGCAGCAGGTGCACCAGGAGCACGTTTCACAAGGTGCCCAATATTGCATCTGTTCAGATAGACAGCGAGTTGGAAAGTGGATGCAGTAGCAGGGTGGTGGCTGCTCCCCATGGCCAGGAGTCCAGCCCAGCACCACCTGAGTCCACCTCTGTCCTGCTCAATTGGGTAATCCATGTTCTGGTCCCTCTGGTCCCACCCACAGAGGGAGGGCTTTGGGGCGACCAGGTGAGCTGGCCCTTGTGGGAGGATGTAACCGACTCCTGAGCCTGGCGAGCCAGGTAGCCTGGCACCAGCATCCCCACCCCCACCTCTCCAGCCCCCTCATTCCCTGATCCTCCCATCCGCCCCCTGCCCCAGCAGTTTCCTCTGCTCACGCTCATCTCTTTTCCTGCTCCCAGGCTCGCCTGGTCAGTGTCCTTCACTCTCCTCTGAGTCTCCCTCTTTCCAAGCCACCTCCACTCTACTTGACACATTCTCCGTTAAGACACCAGAGTACACAAGCTCAAGTCCCTGCACCTCACCTTTACTCCCAGCCATGGGAGGGAGATGACATGAAGAGCCAAACGCCACTTGGCAAGGGCTCTGGGGTATGCAGAGGGGCAGATCTGAGGCTGTGGAAGCTCCAGGGACTCCCTGCAGGAGGCTGCATTTCAGCTGGCTATTGAATGTGGCTCAGAGCTCACACCTCTCCTTGAAGCTCCAGACCAGGAGCCAGCTGCCAGCTGGACCCTCCATTTGGTGTCTCGGAGAAACTTTGCACTCTGTGGGTCTAACTCTGAACCCAGAAAAGCTCCGCATCTCAGTCCTGTCTCTTCTTAGGGAAAGCCTATGACCCAGTTGTGCACCACACCCACATTTGAGTCAGGGGCTCCTGCCCCGCACTGTGAGCGCTCTGGATAAGCCAGTGCCGAGGGGGAAAGAGCTCTGAATGCCAAACCGTGAGTTTCAACTCCACCTCCAGCTCTGAGAGCTGTGGGCAGGGAAGGGCGCTAGTCCAGTGTGCTGTAGAAAGACCAGTCTGCCACTGTATGGCACATGGATGGCGGGGACAGAGTGCGGGTGGAGAGAACAGAAGGTGGACAGGGCAGGGGAGGCAGGGACATGGCTGTAGCTGTGGAGATGGGAGGACAGACAGGACTTGGTGGCCACTTGAATGAACCAAGGGAGGAGTCTGGAAGAGACACCCAGTTTTGTATCAGATGTGTGGAACAATGCTGTTCATTGATCGAGGGAGGAGGAGGAGGAGGAAGAGGTGAGGCATGGGAGGAGGTAACTGAGCTCTGTCATGAATGTCATTTGAGGTTCCCAGGGAGCGCCAGGCCCGCCAGCGCCTTCACTGCTTGAGCCGGCCCTCGAGGTGCCTGTGCTCCCTGGCCCTCTCGGCTCCCACTTTGTAGCTCTCAGCTGCAGTGGGGGACAGCTGCTCAAGGGTCCAGCATGTCTGTGTGTTTACCCAGGGGACTGCCGAATGGCCCATGCCGAGCAGAAGCTGATGGATGACCCTCTGAACAAAACCCATTACAACAACCTGATCCGCCCGGCCACCAGCTCCTCACAGCTCATCTCCATCGATACGGAGCTCTCCCTGGCCCAGTGCATCAGTTGGTAGGTGCAGAGGACACGTGTGGCTCAGGCTCAGGTGAAGAGGCAGCTCATGCCCAAGCCCCAGGCAATCAGTGTCCAGAGGAATGAAATGACTAGAGTTGACTTAGACTCACCAATACATGGCGGGGAGGCTGGAGGAGGGTCTATGAGGTTTGTAGGTGTCCAATATTTAATGCGGTCATGGTTTTGTTAAAGAAGAAACGAGGGTGGGAGCGGGGTCACCACTGGCTAGGCAGCCAATGGGCCTGCATAGACTCTGGTCCACTGAGTCTCCAGCACGACCATAAGCTTCTCCTCCTCATCCTCCCAGCCCCACCCTACTCTCTCCCCCAGCTTGCTCAGCAGGTGACCTTACCGGCTCCCTACTTGTTGGGGGAAATAAGAACCAGACTGGGGGAACTGATGGGTACAGAGGCCCAGGTATAGGGGCAGGACCCCAGGCAGTGCAGCCCCAACTGATCCAGGTGGGTGAGGGTCTGGAGAGTGGGCATGGCTGCTGCAGGCATGGAAAGGAGGCGCAGATGGCGGCACTCCCAGGGACCACCGTCAGGGCTCCATATGTGGATGTGTGCAGAGGTGGGTGCTGAGGGAGGAGGTGCAGGGAATTTCTCATCTTCTCTCCACTGCCTCTGAGTTGGAGATGTCAGAGGGAGCCATGGCCCACTGTAAACTAACACAGTGTCCCCACCCACAGGGTTAGAACCCCTCCCCTGGAAGCGGCTCTGAGGGGAGCAGTCACATGTGGAGAGTGCAGGGCGCTGTGTCCAGCCAGGGGAAGGAGGACACCAAGGGGGTTGCCCCTCTTCTGGCCAGGTGGCTGCCTTCTGACACACCAGCCTCTCTCTAGTATGGTGGCCCCCACACACCCAGCCTGTCAAACCTACAGCCCTCAAGAAGGCTTTGGCCAAATTAATAAACAGCTCCGTCTCCCAGGAGGAAGCACAGCTGAAGGATGCGGAGGGCAGTAGAGTTTATGCTCCGCCCCCGCCCCTCCACAGTCAGACCAGAAAGAAGGGGGCTTTCAGCCAGGGTCACCCAGGCTGGGGTCTGAGTGTCACTGTCCAGCTATTGGCCTCTTGCTTAACAGGTGAGCCCAGCTGCTCCTGTGCAGCTGCCACCCCAGTGAGGGTGAACCAGCCAGCGAGTGACATTTCTGATAGTTGGGGTTACAGGAAAGATTAGGCTGTGGGCTGCTGGGCCAGGAAGGGGTGTTTATTTTCAGGGTTTACCTACTGACTTGACCAGGGAGCGTTATAGGTACAACCAGTTTAAAGATGGAAATTTTGAGAGAGCAGACAGGGACTTAGTGCTGGGTAAGGCAAGCAGGCTTCTCAAAGCAGCTCTTTTGGGGAAGCCAGAATCCTGTACCAATGTCGTCAGCACGTTCATCAGCTGCTGGGGGAGTGCCGGACAGGGTTAAAGCACAGGAGAACTTTCTGGATGACAGGAATGTTCTATATCTTCAAAGGAGGTGGGATACATGGGTAATGCATTTATTAAAATTGATGAAAATATACACCAGATCTGTGCATTTCACTGAAGATAAATTATACCTCAATTTTAAAACATTTTTTAAAAGAGAGATGGGCCAGACGCAGTGGCTCACGCCTGTAATCCCAGCACTTTGGGAGGCCGAGGCGGGTAGATCACCTGAGTCAGGAGCTCGAGACCAGCCTGGAAAACATGGTTGAATCCTGTCTCTATTAAAAATACAAAAATTAGCCAGGCATGGGGACACAGGCCTGTAGTCCCAGCTACTCGGGAGGCTGAGGCAGGAGAATTGCTTGAACCCAGTAGGCAGAGGTTACAGTGAGCAGAGATCACGCCACTGTACTGGAGCCTGGGCAACAGAGCGAGACTCCATCTCAAAAGAAAAAAAAAAAGAAAAGACAGATGAAGGTTTTCAACTTTCACTAAAGGCAGAGTAGCTTGTTATAGATTAGCCTCCCCCCAAAAGCAGTTAGAGAAACTGCACAAAAATGTGCCCCCACCACCAAAAACAACTGTTTGAAGGTAATTGGAGACCTCAGTCAGGACTTGAGTGACCAGGCCTAGGAGGTGACCCTGACAGTCTGTAGTGCTTTTCGCACATTATGTGATTGGTGAACAGTAGAGGGCTAAGAGGTTAAGAAACTGAGTCTGAAGTGGTGGTTAAGAGGCTGGAGAGCCTAGCTGAATGTTTGGCACTCACAGGGCTGAAATGACCTCATGAGAATTTGGGTCCCAGTAAGGAGATGGGACCTTGGTGGGAACCCTGGAAGGGTCACCCCTAGGAGTCCAAATGAATAAAAAATAGACCAGTCGTCACAAAAACTAAAGCCTGCTTTGAACCAGCTTAGTCCCAAACTATACGAAGGTGATCTGCGCTTACTCCAATTGTGTGCCATAAAGTCAAAGTCAGTACTCTCTGGAGGCAGATAAAAGTTTACTAACAACGCCATAAGACAAGACTAAATGAGAAAGAACAAGAAAAAAAAACAATACAAACATACAAGAAAAAACCAATAGAAACATACATGTAAGGAAGATAAGGAAGAAAGATTTTTTTTGTTTTTTTGTTTGTTTTGTTTTTTTGTTTTTTTTTTTGGAGACGGAGTCTCGCTCTGTCACCCAGGCTTGAGTGCAGTGGCATGATCTCAACTCACTGCAACCTCTGCCTCCCAGGTTCGAGCGATTCTCCTGCCTCAGCCTCCCAAGTAGCTGGGATTACAGGCATGCGCCCCCATGCCCGGCTAATTTTTGTATTGGCCAGGCTGGTCTGGAACTCCTGACCTCAGGTGGTCCATTCACCTCAGTCTCCCAAATTGCTGGGATTACAGGCATGAACCACTGTGCCTGACCAATATTTTGCCACAATTTAAAATAAATAATTTTTTTTTTTTTTTTTTTTTCAGGTTTGGGCTCAGACTATATTCTAAACAGTCACATGGCAGCTGACTCTTCTCCAGGCCTTGCTGCCGGGTTTTACATGTTTATTGTTTTTGCCTTCTTGTCATGTGCTCGGTAGATGGCAGCTTCCAGGTGCTCCTAAGGGGCCAGAAAAGAGAGTGAGAAGGCACGGAGGCTGCCAGGTCATCCCCCTCAGGGCCTCACCCTCATCAACTCCCTCAACTGGGTCTCCTGCAACTATTGGGGGGCCACCTCAGCCACCGCCTTGCCCTGAGCTTCCTGCTGCTGCAGCTGGGCAGAGCCTCCTTCTCAGAGGCCAGCTGCTGATAGGCGGCCAGGTACTGCTGCAGGGGACCCAGGGAATGGTCTCGCTGCTGCTGCAGACTCTGAGCCTCTTGGCTCTTCAGCTCCACCTGCAGGATAGGCGTCAGGGTAGGCAGTGGCTGGCTTCCAGATTCTGGGCCCATAAACAGGGTGGCGAGGGCACAGTGGGGCTCTGTTATCTGTCCAGGCCCCTGGCCCCTGGCCCCTTCCTCCAGGCCTAAGTGACTGCCTCCCCAGCCTCAAATCTCACACCCTTCTTCCCACCATTGAAGCTGTACGCCACAGACTGGTGGAAAAGCAGAGGGAGCCAACCACCATCTGCTAAGTTGTGGTGAGGGCGTTCTGTATGATCTCCAGGGTTTGCAACCACCTCCGCCTGCTCCCCCAAAGCTCGGCCTTCCGCCCCAGCTCCCCCAGCCTCTCCTCCAGCTCCTGCAGCCTCACCTCCTGCTTCTGCATCTTCTCCTCCTGCTGCCACAGCCTCGTTTCCTGCTCCCGCATCTTCTCCTCCTGCCTCTGCATCTTCTCCTCCTTCTCCCGCATCTTCTCCTCCTGCCTCCGCATCTTCTCCTCCTGCTCACGTATCTTTTGCTCCTTCTCCCATATCATCTCCTCCTGCTCCCACATCTTCTTCTCCTGCTCCCGCATCATCTCCTCTTGCCTCCACATCTTCTCCTCCTGCTCCCTTAGCTTCTTCTCTTGCCTCCACATCTTTTCCTCCTGCTCCCACATCTTCTTCTCCTGCTCCCACAGCTTTTCTTCCTGCTCCCGCAGCATATGCTCCTTCTCCCCCAGCTTCTCCTCCTGCTCACACATCTTCTCCTCCTGCTCCCACAGCATATCCTCCTTCTTCCCCAGCTTCTCCTCCTGCTCACACATCTTCTCCTCCTGCTCCCGCATCACCTCATCCTGCTCCCGTATTATCTCCTTCTGCTCCCGTATCTTCTCCTCCTGCCTCCATATCTTCTCCCCCTGCTCCCGCCGCTTCTCCTCCTGCTCCCGTATCTTCTCCTCCTGGCTCCATATCTTCTCCTCCTGCTCCCGTAGCTTCTCCTCTTGCCTCCGCATCTTCTCCTCCTGCTCCTGCCTCCTCTTCTCCTGCTCCCATATATTCTCCTCCTGCTTGTGTATCTTATCCTCCTGCTCCCGTATCTTCTCCTCCTGATTGTGCATATTCTCCTTCTGCTCCTGTATCTTCTCCTCCTGCCTCCACATCTCCTGCTCCCGTATCTTCTCCTCCTGCTCCTGTATCTTCTCTTCCTGCTCCTGTATCTTCTCTTCCTGCTCACGCATCTTCTCCTCCTTCTCCTGTGTCTTCTCCTCCTGCTTATGCATCTTCTCCTCCTGCCTCCAAATCTTCTCCTCCTGCTCCTGCCTCCTCTTCTCCTGCTCTTTTATCTTCTTCTTCTGCTCCTGTATCTTCTCTTCCTGCTCGTGCATCTTCTCCTCCTGCTCCTGTATCTTCTCCTCCTGCCTCCACATCTTCTCTTCCTGCTCCTGCCTCTTCTTCTCCTGCTCCCGTATCTTCTCCTCCTGCTTGTGCATCTTCTCCTCCTGCTCCTGTATCTTCTCCTCCTGATTGTGCATCTTCTCCTCCTGCTCCCGTATCTTCTCCTCCTGCTCCTGTATCTTCTTCCCCTGCCTCCACATCTTCTCCTCCAGCTCCCGTATCTTCTTCTCCTGCCTGCACATCTTCTCCTCCTGCTCCGGTATCTTCTTCTCCTGCCTCCACATCTTCTCCTCCTGCTCCCGTATCTTCTTCTCCTGCCTCCACATCTTCTCCTCCTGCTCTTGCCTCTTCTTCTTCTGCTCTGGTATCTTCTCCTCCTGCTTGTGCATCTTCTTCTCCTGCTCCCTTATCTTCTCCTCCTGATCATGCATCTTCTCCTCCTGCTCCCGTATCTTCTCCTCTTGCCTCCAAATCTTCTCTTCCTGCTCCTGCCTCCTCTTCTCCTGCTCCCGTATCTTCTCCTCCTGCTCATGCATCTTCTCCTCCTGCTCATGCATCTTCTCCTGCCTCCACATCTTCTTCGCCTGCTCCTGACTCTTCTTCTCGTGCTCCCGTATCTTCTCCTCCTGCTCATGTATCTTCTCCTCCTGCTCCCATATCTTCTCCTCCTGCCTCCACATCTTTTCCTCCTGCTCCCGCCTCTTCTCTTCCTGCTCCCGTATCTTCTCCTCCTGCTCCTTTATCTTCTCCTCCTGCTTCCACATCTCCTTCTCCTGCTCCTGCCTCTTCTCCTCCTGCTCCTGTATCTTCTCCTCCTGCTCTTGCTGCTTCTCCTCCTGCTCCCGTATCTTCTCCTCCTGCTCCCGTATCTTCTCTTCCTGCTCCTGTATCTTCTCTTCCTGCCTCCACATCTTCTCTTCCTGTTGCTGGTACAAGCGGTTCCACAACTCGTTCTCTTCCACCTGGGCTTGGAGCTTCGCGGACACACTCTGCAGCTCCTTACCCAGGTGGTCAGCCTCCTCCTGCAGCTGCTGCTGGAACAGTGAAAGTGTTGGTTTGAACCTCAGAAGGAAACAGACTCGGGATAGTCATATAAATGTAATCTATCAAACAATGGTTTTCACCCATGATCCTTTAAAATATATATTTTTTAAGCCCTAACTCTGAGATTCTGATTCCCCAGGCAGGGCCCCACTTTGTAGATTTTTAGCACACTCTAGAGGATTCTATGGCGGGACCAGAACAAGGGCCCAAATTTTCTAGCTCTTGACTGGAGCCTCCCCATATCCTGCATGATCCCTAGACCATGGTCCCAGCCGGACAGGGATCCCACAACCCCCGGGGCTGTAGCTGCTTGCCTGTGGCAGCAGGAGCTTGGCCTTCTCCAGCTTCCTTTCTAGCTCCTTTACATTGAGCTGGATCTCAGACTTCTCAGATTCTACAAGTCGAAGTTTTTCTTGTAGTTCGGCATTTTTCTCCTTCAGCTCATCATCGGTTATGCTACAACCAGAGGCAGTAGATAAAGGAATGAACGAAGAACAGAAAGGACTGCTTTGGTGATCAACCCTCTACTTTCACCCCACAACCACAGAACCGTGGCATTGGATGGGACCCCAGGAATTTAAAGCCCCAGGTGGCAGGCCAGAGAGAAGACATGAGTTGCCTGAGGCTACCCCATGAGTCAGTGGCACAGCCGGCACTAGAGCTTCCCTGTGCACACATGAAAACCTGTATGAGCCTCTCACCATGCTCACCTGTACCCCCACCTCCCAGCACACCCCCCACGCTAAGAGCCCCAAGACCTCCCATCCCACGATCCCCCATCCTACGTGTTCCTGTACAGTTCCAGACTCAGGACATCCCTCTCCTTTGTTAACTCCTCGATGTACTGCAAATAGAGAAAGGTGAAGTCAGGATAGAGCAGGCAGAGGAGCGGCTGGCCGACCAGGAACAACAGCCACCGTGACCACTCCACACACCACTCCCCACTCCCAGTCACACCTGACATGCTCTCAAGGCACTTCCAAGCCCAGGGTCTCCTTTGGTTTTCTTTTTTGTTTTGTTTTATTTCTTTCCTTCTTACTTTTTCTTTTTCTTCAGGAAGATTTTCACTCTTGTTTCCCTGACTGGAGTGCAATGGCGCAATCTCAGCTCACCACAACCTCCGCCTCCCGGGTTCAAGCAATTCTGCCTCAGCCTCCCGATTAGCTGGGATTATAGGCATGTGCCACCACACCCGGCTAACTTTGTATTTTTAGTAGAGATGGGGTTTCTCCATGTCCGTCAGTCTAGTCTTGAACTCGCAACCTCAGGTGATCCGCCAGCCTCGGCCTCCCAAAGTGCTGGCATTACAGGCATGAGCCAGAGCACCAGGCCCTCATTTGTCTTTCAAAGAACTCAGTAAAGGTGGAAGGGACAGGGAAAGAGACTGAATTCATAGCTGGCTAGCAGGGGCCCAGAGACATCAGATGGTATTGCTATTGTTCTTACTGTTACTACTACCACTGGTGGAACCTTTACTGACTGCTTCACCAGGTACTGCACTAACAATCCCATTTCATCCTCACAACCTCCATAGGAGACGGTTACCATTATTACCTCTATCGTATAGATGAAAAACATGGGGTATTAAGGGTTAAGTGCTTGACTAAGATCACGTAGAGCTGGGATTTCAACACCCAGGTATATCGGATTCTCTAAGCCCATTCTTTCCCTGGGGGTAGGGGCAAAGATAAGGAGGAGGAAATTAATCATTTGTTGACATTTTGAAAGGATGATACGTTCGAATCGTCCAAAACTCAGAAAGTACAGAAGGGAAATATCTCCCCCCAACACTGTTCCTCTCTCCTGAGATGTTTATGATCCTTACAAACATGTTTATTGTATGTTCCCATAATACACACACACACACACACACACACACACACACACACACACACACAGAGGCTCCCTCTCTCAACACAAATAATAACATACTCAAGCTACTCTTCTGTACCTTTATGGTACCAGTATCCTAACCGCCACTTGGGACTTGGCCAAGGCCACAGTCAAATATGGGCAGGGCGGGCACTTGGCCTGTGAGCTCTATGTCCGGTGCTCACTCCCCACGGCGCCCCCCAACTCACCCACAGCAGCCGACTCAGCCCCTCTCAGCCTCTAACCACCACACACAAAAGCAGCAAGAAATGGCCATGCTGTCTTCTGGGCAGGACACTCCATCCTGCAGAAGGGACTTTTAGGCTCACTCCTCCATCTGTGAAGCCAGGCTCCCAGGGGATGGGGCAGGGGGTTGGACTCACCCTGTCAGCCTTCTTCTTCTGTGTAGCGACAGCAGAGAGATCCCACTCTAAATCTCTTGCAAAATTCCATGAATCATGCAGGCGGCCGACCAGATGCCTGCACTCTCCTGGAATGAGAGACATTCAGATGCGGCCCAAAGGACTCCCCATAAAGGCCTGTCAAAGTGCCAGGTTGAAGGATGATGGGGTACCAGATTCCCACCTTGCAACTGCTGGACAGCACGCTGGCTGCAATAGAGTGCCGTCTGAAGCTCAGTTTTCTCACATGTAAGGATTCGTATGGTATGAACCTGGGCCTTTGGGGAAAAAAAAAGCAAGTGCTGAAAGAGAAGCAAAGAAACCTTCTCCAGAGGACAGGAGGGAACTTCACACCGTCCACTCACCTCTAGCTCCCTCCTTAGGGCATCCTGATGTTGGTGGCTTGCCTTCTTTTCCTATAGAAAGAGGAAGACAGAGCTCTTACTAGGGGGAGGCAGAGATGGCACAGCAAGAGACATGCCCCCAGAATGGCACCACTGCCCCAGGACAGGCCCACCCATGGGACCAGGTTATCAGGGACCCTGTGTGGATGGGGTGGGATCTGGGGGGTGAGCCTTCTTCCCCAGGCTGGGAGTGGGCAAGATGAGACTGGGGCCTCTACTGCTGAGTGCTTCTAAAACCCAGCAGTCATGTCATGATCAAACAAAGAAATCACGTCACTTCTTCCAGCTGGGCTCGGTTCTGCTGTTTCTGTGGGGAGAGTCAAAGGAAGGTGACTGAGGGTGGCCCCTTCGAGTCTATTCCCCAGGCCAGGAAGCGGTAGGCAGGGGCCAGGGATGGATTTTAAAGGTAGTTCTCAGACCCAATGGGAACACGAACTGGTAAACTCTCCTCAACTCCCAAAGAAAAAGGACTTGAGTCTTTGTTGGTTTGTGCCCACAGCCACAGAACTCAAAGTCTGAAACTAGATTCTCTCAAAAAGACAGAGAAACCTTCAGAGATGGAGTGTGAGAAGAGCCCACGCTTCTGCCAGCTTGTGATTTAGAAAGGTGCATTCATTCAACAAACATTGACTGAGCACATACGGGCCAGGGACAGTTCTTCACAGCGCGGATATAGGACGGGAAAGGCAGATAGGAACCCTCGGTCCCGAGGTTTCCATTCCAGTGGGCCTTTAACTCTCGGACACTCAGAGCTAACAGACACCTCCGATACTCTCTAACTCTACCCCAGGAAACGCAAGCCCGAGAAAGAGAGTTTATAGCAGGCAGTGGACTAGGGATTAACATAAAAACAACAATGATAAATCTCATTTAAACTTCACCAATGTAGGTAAAACCAAACCACTCCTATTTTACAGATGTGAAAAGAGAGGCCCAAAGAGCTCAAGGAATTTGCCCTCTATCATATCCCCAGCAGATGGAGAGGATTCAAACCCAGAATTCTTAAGCAGTGCCTGGGAGTTCTTCCACAATCTTAACAATTACCCTCCACCACCCCTTGGGCCCTCAGTCCCCAGGAGCCTGGCCAGCCAAGACTCACATCCTCAGGTGAGTGGCAACCTCCAGAAGTGGTTGTCTCAGAGTTAGCACCATTATTTATGTTCTTCTTTTTGGTGTCGCTTGCTTCTGTACCAACACTAGGGTTGGCCTGGGGATGGTAGTCTCTCAACTGTGGAAAGGAAGAGCAGTGATATTCATGAGAACTACAAGCTCCTACAGTCACATCCTGCTTTACAGTTTCTACAAAATACTCTTCTGCACCATCTGATTTAGTGCCACCAACAACTGTAGGAAGTGTTGTCACAGTCAGTGACTGAGAGGGATTGATACCATGGCTGAACAGAAGCCACTAATGGAACTGAAACTCAGTCTTCTGACTCTGAGCTCTGGGATTTTGCCACAAGTCAGCAGCTGCCAGGGACCAAAACCAGAGGCAAAGGCAGAAAAGCAAATATTACGTAGGCAGGCACTGTACACCGTGTGGTTTAGAGTCATACACTCTCACACGTCTGTTAGTGTGAAGAAGTGCACCACTACCTCTCAAACGTTTATATTAATGTATGCTCATGGCAGAAGGCAGCCTTTCTGTGAAACCTGGGAACTTAACACAAAGAGGACAACCCAACCCTCATTTCAGAGAGAAGTCTTGTATATTCTTATAAATTTGTGTGACTGTCACCCCTAAGTACATTAATGTTTTGTTTCTCAGTAGACTCAAAGGCAACTGATGCTTCAGAAAGATGCCCCATATTTATCCTGTGGCACTCGAAGTACCCCAGGTGGAGATGAGATGAGGAAGATTCAAGCTGTCAAGTTCAGTTTCCCAAGATCTGTTCCACAGAAGATAGGCAGATCTCACTGCAGAAACCACTGACTGAGGGGCACTCTGGTCCCAGAACAATGCAGAATTCAAGTCTGAGGTGGAGAACTCAGAAACAATGTTCGAGTCTCTCTGGAGAGTAGAAGCCTGGGAGAAAATCAAACTAAACCCGTTCTCCCGTTGCCACCCAGAACACCGTCAATGTGTTGAGCTCATGGGGGAGGTGTAGGCTTTTCACACTGTCAACGTCTGTGTTAAGGAAGTAAGGCAGCCTGAAACCTCTCTCTCCTACGTCCCACAGTCCCCAATCTCCTTCCAGCTGGAAACCTGTGCTACAACCAGAGGAACCAGAAATGGGCAAGAACACTTAGGGGACTGGGTCCTAAGACCAAAGACCGGTCTCGTGGCAGTAATGACAGTTCCTAGAGGGACTGCGACATCACTACATTCCACTCCTCAGTGGAGTGGTGGGCGGGACACATGAGTGCAATGACCAAGCTCCCAGAGATTGGGGAGGGGGTCACAGGGTTGGGACCCAGGTCCTTGGAGATGCAAGCCCAGAGAGCCCAGGGAGGTCAGGCTTTGGGTTGCGGGAGGTGAGGGCCGAGTATGGAGCGGGGAGCCCCAGGAGTCACCTGTCCAAAGTGACCAGGGGACAACCGGTGAGGGCAGGTTCTAGGGCACCCAGGTCCTTGGAGACGTGAGCCCAAAGAGCCCAAGAAGGTCGGGTTTGGGGTAGCAGGAGGTAAGGGCAGAGTATGGAGTGGGAAGCCCTGGGAGTCACCAGCTCAAAGTCACCCTTGGTTGGCTGGTGAGGACAGGGGCAGGACTCACGAGGGGGTTGGGCTGGCTCACAAGATTTTGGTGTGGGGAGCCCAGGGGCACTGGGGGGTTCCCAGCCTGGTGTGCCTCAGCAGTGGCACAGACTCTGGCAGCAGCTTGACTGTCAGAGGGCGCCTGGGGCTGGGTTGGGGTGCCACAACCTGGTGCCTTTTACCTTTTCCTTGGCCTTGGCCAATTTGATCGGTCGGGTTTCTTCGGACATCATGGGATGGGTAGGGCGGTGGGGTTGGGGCCACATCAGCACAATCCAGGCGAGGACAACTATACACCTCCAGTCACCTACCAGGTAGCTGTGTGACTGAGCCAGAGGAGGCGTAACCAGGGCCACACTAGAATGCAGAATGGGGCGTGGCCTTAATGCTTCAAGCCTATTGGTCAATGAGAAAGATGCAAGGGAAAGGAGGCGTGGCCAGACAGCAGCCTGTCCTGAAGAACCTGTGATGTCACAAGGAAAGCCGCCATGTAACCGCTGTCCCCGCCCACTCCAGGAGAGTGGCGGGGCTGGCTTTCACTTTAAAGACTTTAAAACTGGATTACCTCAATTGAGGTACAAATCCTATGAAAATGGAAATTTTATAGTGTGCTTGATGATTGATAAAGCAGACTATATTATCCAACATTCCACTAAGATAAATAATCACAATGATTTCTCTTTTTTGGAAAACCTTTCTCTTATTCTCCTACGTTATTGTTAAGGGTTTTTTGTTTTTCTAAAAATACAAAACAAAAAAACAAAAAAGAAAACAAGAAACATGTCTAATATCATTAAAAACATAAAGCTTGTGAGCCAGGTGTGGTGGCTCACGCCTGTAATCCCAGCACTTTGGGATGCTGGGGTGGGTGGGTCACCTGAGTTCAGGAGTTCAAAATCAGCTTGGCTAACATGATGAAACCCTGTCTCTATTAAAAATACAAAACTAGCTGGGCATGGTGGCAGGTGTCTGTAATCCCAGCTACTTGGGAGGCTGAGGCAGGAGAATCCCTTGAACCTGGGAGGCAGAGGTTGCAGTGAGCCAAAATCATGCCACTGCACTTCAGCCTGGGCTACGGAACAAGACTCTGTCTCTAAAAACATACACACAGACACAGACACACACACACACACACACACACACACACACACACACACACACACACACGGAAAGCTTTCCATTTAATAAGCACTCAAAGTTCTTTACAAGTTTAAAACAAATACAGGACCCTCTAAAGTAAGGCTAAATGCTAAGTGATGGGGGAGAGAAAAAGGACATAAATAACTCCTACTCTCATGAGGTTAATCACTAAATCCTATTTTTCTAGAATCACCTGGCCTCTCTAAGCCCTGAAAATGAAACTGAATTTCTCACTTGATACTTGGCTATGACTTGCAATCATGAAAACCAAGAGTTGTGTTCTGTCACTGTGTAGTGCTTGCTACCTGGGATCAAGGGTTGAGTTTTTCATGATTTGCTCCATTATCTGTGTGCTTCTTATCCCAGACCAAACTAAGCTTTTTTCTAGAGTTCTACAATTTACAGTTAGTAGATAAGAGTGCTTCTCAAAAATACAGTCTCTGAACCAGGAGCACTTGGGAATGTCTTATAGATGTAAATTCTCAGGCCCCTCCCTAGACTTGATGAATCAGAAACTCTGGAGTAGGGCCCAGCAATCCACGCTGCAATAAGCCCTCCAGGTGTTCAGGAACCGCTGGCATACAGCAGGTAGAAAAATGTGTTTCCTTCTGTAGGTCCAAAGCCAGGGATACTATATGTTCTGTCTCGATACGAAGCAATGACATGCAATTAAAAGACATAAATCTTTTTCCTACTTCCACCCTCCAGCCAATGTGTTTTATTTTTACAAGTTCAAATAGAAAGCGAATGGCAATCAGAGATTTCATCTAAAAGTATGTTTACAAGTATCAGTTCTCATCCAGCCTGATCTCATCTAGTACCATTTATATTCTCTTACATGTAATATTGTAGAAAAGGATCTTCACAATGTAAGACTCGGGCACACTAGAAGTTCTATGATAAAAGACCAACTAGATCTGAATGTCCAAACTTACTAGAGAAGAAAAGTGGAATCACTCGATCTCCTGTCCACGTGATCTGCCCGCCTTGGCCTCCCAAAGTGCTGGGATTACAGGCATGAGCCATGGCGCCTGGCCTTATTTTGTTTCGAGGAGTGCCTTTTGGTAAGGGTGCCCAGGAGGAGGATGACTGTGGAGATGGGCAGGTGCCCTCCCTGCTGTGCAACTGGCTGACGTCCTGGCCCAGGGCTCTGCCCAGGACTGCCGTGTGCGCCTTTTGCAGTTCCCTTGGTGGTGGGTGAGCCCAGTTCTCTCCACCAGCTGAGGCCCAGGCTGCAGTGGTGCTGGCCAGAGAGAACGGAGTTAGCGGCCCGGGACCTGCGGCAATCCACAGCAGGAGTCAGAGCCTGACTTTCCCATCTGGGGAGTGAGACGGTGGATCTCGTGGTTTTCAAGGATTCATCCAGCTCTGTTTTCCTGGGCCAAGGGTTTGTCCCAAGACCTGTGGCTGATGCCCTGGGCTCCAGCCTCTCTATCCAAGGGAGCAGGGCCAAGCTGAAGTCGGCCTCCGCATTCCTGGCTTTTCATCCCCATCCTGAGCTGCCTGTCTCTGGCTTCCCCATCAGTGCTGGTGCCCCTTGAGGAGAAGCCTCCCAGAGGAAGAGTTGGCCAAAAGGGGTGTTTATGTGTGACTTGGAAGGCAGAAGGAAAGAGCCAGCAGTTGCTGTCTGGAGGCGGCCGTGGCTGTCCAGTGTCACTGGCCAGGTCAAGGTCCATTCTGCCTGTACACAGCAAATCTATCACTGTGACACGGGTTTTGCAAAAGAAGAAAGATAGATTCACAAGACCGCCAAGTGAGGAGGTGGGAGAACAGCGCTCAAATCCTTATCTCCCTGGAGATAAGGCTGAGGGCTGTTTCTAGGTTAGGGAAGTGTGATGGTCTAAGATGTGGGGGGAGGTGATTGGCAGTGGGGAAAAATGAAGTAACAGGTTCATTTTGTGCAAGTGTTATCAGGCAGCTGGCCAAACTTGGTGGCTCATGCCTGTAATCCCAACAGTTTGGGAGGCAAAGGCAGGCAGATCACCTGAGGTCAGGAGTGTGAGAGCAGCCTGGCCAACATGGTGAAACCCCGTCTCTATTAAAAATACAAAAATTAGTCTGGACACAATGGCTCATGCCTGTAATCCCAGCACTTTGGGAGGCCGAGGCAGGTGGATCAGGAGGTCAGGAGATCGAGACCATCCTGGCTAAAACAGTGAAACCCCATCTCTACTACTAAAAAAAAAAACAAAAAAAACAAAAAAAAAACAAAAAATTAGCCAGGCATAGTGGTGGGCACCTACAGTCCCAGCTACTCGGGAAGCTGAGGCAGGAGAATGGTGCGAACCCACGAGGCGGAGCTTGCAGTGAGCTAAGATAGCACCACTGCACTCCAGCCTGGGTGACAGAGCAAGACTCTGTCTCAGAAAAAAAAAAAAATACAAAAATTAGCTGGGCGTGGTGGTGCATGACTGTAATCCCAGCTAGTTGGGAGGCTGAGGCAGGAGAATCGCTTGAACCCAGGAGGCGGAGGTTGTGGTGAGCTGAGTCACACCATTGCATTTCAGCCTGGGCAACAAGAGCCAAACTCCATCTCAAGCAACCAACCAACCGAAGGAAAAACAAAACAAAAGAAAAAACACAGTGTAACAAGTTATTATAAAGTCACTGCTCAGGGACCAGCTTGCCCGTCCTGTGCCTTTAGAGGGAAGCTCCCGCCCACTGTTCTTCCGTTTTATATCTTAAGTACAGGAGTCACCAAACTAGGCCTATGTACCACAGCTGGCACCCAGCCTTTATTTACTTTTTGAGATAGAGTCGCTCTCTGTCCCCCAGGTTGCAGTGGAGTGGCACGATCTCTGCTCACTGCAACCTCCGCTTCCCGGGTTCAAGCAATTCTCCTGACTCAGCCTCCCAAGTAGCTGGGATTACAGGTGCATGCCACCATGCCTAGCTAATGTTTGTATTTTTGGTAGAGATGGGTGTTGGCCTCTCAAAGTGCTGGGATTATAGGCATGAGCCATGATGCCTGACCCAGCCTTTTTGAAAATGAAGGTTTTGGCCAGTACGGTGGCTCACGTCTGTAATCCCAGCACTTTGGGAGGCCAAGGCAGGCGGATAACCTGAGGTCAGGAGTTCGAACCCAGCCTGGCCAACAAGATGAAACCCCGTCTCTACCAAAAATACAAAAATTAGCCAGGAGTGATGGCATGCACATGTAATGCCAGCTACTTGGGAGCCTGAGGCAGGAGAATCACTTGAACCCAGGAGGCAGAGGTCGCAGTGAGCCGAGATCACCCGATTGCACTCTATCCAGCCTTAGCAACAAGAGCGAAACTCCATCCCAACAAAATAAAAAATAAAAAATGATGTCCTTTTTTGCATCTCAACCCTTTTTTATTTTTTTTATTTTGAGACAGAGTCTCACTCTGTTGCCCAGGTTGGAGTGCAGGAGCCTGATCTTAGCTCACTGCAGCCTCGACCTCCCCAGCTCACATGATCCTCCCCCCTCAGCCTTCCAAACAGCTGGGACCACAGGTGGGCACCACCATGCCCGCCTCATTTTTGTATTTTTTGTAGAAATGGGATTATGCCATGTTGCCCAGGCTGATCTTGACTTCAGGGCTCAAGTAATCTCTCTGCCTCCACCTCCCGAAGTGCTGGGATTACAGGCGTGAGCCACCATGCCCAGCCCTGCTTTAAATTAAAGTGTATTTCACTTAATATTAGTACAGCCACTTCGGGGGTTTTTTGCTTACTATTTAAATGTTGTATCTTTGTATTCTTTTACTTTCAATCTGTTTATTTTAATTTAAAATGTTTATCTTGTAGATAGCACATTGATGGATCATATTTTCTTTTTTAATCCTTTCAGCCAGTTGGCTTTTCTTTTTTTGTGAGACAGAGTTTTGCTCGTCACCCAGGCTGGAGTGCAATGGTGCGATCTCAGCTCACTGCAATCTCTGCCTCCTGGGTTCAAGCGATTCTACAGCTTCAGCCTCCTGAGTAGTTGGGATTACAGGCGCCTGAAACCATGCCTGGCTAATTTTCGCATTTTTAATAGAGACGGGGGTTTCTTCACGTTGGTCAGGCTGGTCTTGAACTCCTGAACTCAGGTGATCCACCACCTCAGCCTCCCAAAGTGCTGAGATTACAGGCGTAAGCCACCGCACCCGGCCAAAGTGGTGGATTTTTTTCTCAGAAAATCTATTCCATTCTTTTTCCAGAAACCAAGTTTGTACAACTAAAATAAATATTTATACTCTAATTTTTTTGTTCTGAGGTCTAACTGAGTTTTAATAGAATTTCATCTTTACATGTTTAGAAAAATTAGAAAATACAGATAAAACATAACTAAGTTAATAATAACATCTTTTCCTTCTGTTCAAAGTTCATTACTATTAGCTGAGTGCAGTGGCTCACACTTGTAATCCCAGCATTTTGGGAGACAGAGGCGGACGGATCACTTGAGCCTAGGAGTTCGACACCAGCCTGGGCAACATGGCAAACCCCGGTCTCTACAAAAAATACAAAAATTAGCTAGGCGTGGTTGCTTGTGCCTGCAGTCCTAGCTACTGGCAAGGCTGAGGTTGAGAACCACGTGAACCCGGTAAGTCAAGGCTGCAGTGGTGCAGCCTCTGTCCCCCAGGCTGGAGTGCAGTGGTGCAATCTCGGCTCACTGCAATCTCCGCCTCCCAGGTTCAAGCAATCCTCCTGCCTCAACCTCCCAAGTAGCCGGGATTACAGGCACGCACCACCACACCAGGCTAATTTTTGTATGTTTAGTAGAAAAACGGTCTCACCATGTTGGCCAGGCTGATCTTGAACTCCTGACCTCAAATAATCCACCTGCCTTGGCCTCCCAAAGTGCTGGGATTACAGGCGGGACCACCATGCCCTTTTTCCTTCTTAGAGGCAGGATGTCACTCTGTTGCCCAGGCTGGAGTGCAGTGGCATGATGTCAGCTCACTGTAGCATTGACCTCCCAGGCTGAGGCGATTCTCCTGCCTCAGCCTCCCGAGCAGCTGGGATCACAGGTGTGCACCACCACACCTGGCAAATTGTTAATTTTTTTTTTTTTTGAGATGGAGTCTTGCTATGTTGCCCAGTCTGGCAACATGGGATCCTCCAACTCCTGCCTTTGAGGGATCCTCCCACTTCGGCCTCCCAAAGCCCTGAAAATTACAGACGTGAGCCACCATGCCCAGCCTATATTGTTGCATATTTCTTCTATTGTGTTTTGTGGTCGCTGGAGGTCTGTTCCTTCTTGGATTCCCTGCACAGTGTTCCACAGCTGCTCCACGTAATCTGCCCAAGACTTCGGCTGCATTCAGTTGAACACACAGGAGGAAACTTCACTCCCCAGCCGACCACACAAAGATCCGTTCTCATCCCCAGGGCAGCTGCTCTGGCCACTCGACTCGCGCCCTGGATGGCTCCAGTTGCTGTGAGCGCGACCACCCGCCGCGTGATTAAGAGCGCTCCGGGCCGGGCAGTCTCCCGTGGGAGTGGGGGCGTGGGTGAGTGCGACGGAAATCCCGCCTTCCGGCGCCCGCGCTTGACCCTGGCCTCAGAGGGTGAGCTCCAAGTAGGAAGATGGGCATGATTGCGGGAAGCGGGAGAGCCTGGAGGACTGCGAAGCGCTCGTCTTCACCATTGGCTGCGCCCGCGGAGCAGCCTCGTTGCGATTGGCCGTACGCAGGGGGGCGGGGGGGGGGCGCGGGAGTGTCGCCTCGGCCCGCCGCTAGGGCAGTTAGAGGCGCGGGGATCCGGGCTGAGCCAGCGGCTGCTGGGAGGCTGTGTCCAGACGCCGGCGAGGCCACGCGGCCCGGCTCTGCATGTCAGGTCCTGGCCTGGGGCACCGGGGCAGCCGATGGCGGAGGCGGGGCTGGCGGGCGGCCGAGCCTGGGAGGCAGGGGTGGGCGCGGCGGCGGCACCTGGGCCTGCGCGGATAGCCCGCGGGGCAGTCTCGGGCCTCTCTCCATCTCTTAAGTGGTGGTGGCTGTGGGTTTTTCTGCAGGCGATCGTTTTTGAGTAATTTGTTTCACGCACGTGCCCTGTTGTGGGGTAAATGCTGCTTTCATGTGTCCGTTAAAACGGTGGGTTTCCTGTCGTGTGTGTGTACCTTTTGCATTTGAGGGCAGATGACATTGTGACTTGGTCTCCTGTGACCGTCTGTTCTCAAGGTCTCGCCAGCGTGGTGCAGAAACCCGGCCCACCCTGCTTACCTTGGAAGGCGGCTTTCCCTTCCCCACCTCCCTTTCCCCTCCATCTCTTCCCTGTTTCCCTCTCTCCCCTCACTCTCGTCCCCCAGCTCTTCTCTCCCCTCTTGCTGTTCTGTCTCGCTCTCTCTTTTTTCTGCATTAAACATTTCGGGAGTTACTTTGTAAATTATTAAAAAGCGTTAGGTCTTAAACATGTGTGTTTACTTGCAGGCCTGAGAACTGGGAGGACGCTGGAGAAAAGCTGCCCTCTGAATGTTTGTTTGGCTGTCCAGGCTCGCCTTGACTCCAAATGGTTGAAAACAGATACACAGGTGGGGTTTGCCATGTCTTTTTCTTGGCGTGTTTCTGCTTCCATGTTTAAATTTCTCGTGTAAGGCTGTTTTTCTTAGGGCATGTAAGGGGAAGTTAGTTGTATCTTCCTATGTTAGAGGAGCAGGTTTATTTCCTCCTATAACTTAAAATGTAGCAGTCTTGGCCGCGCGCGGGGGCTCACGCCTGTAATCCCAGGACTTTGGGAGGCCGAGGCGGGTGGATCACGAGGTGAGGAGATCGAGACCATCCTGGCTAACACGGTGAAACCCCGTCTCTACTAAAAATACAAAAAATTAGCCGGGCGTGGTGGCAGGCGCCTGTAGTCCCAGCTACTCGGGAGGCGGAGGCAGGACAATGGCGTGAACACGGGAGGCAGCGGAGCTGGCAGTGAGCCGAGATCTCACCACTGCCCTCCAGCCTGGGCAACAGAGCGAGACTCCGTCTAAAAAAAAAAAAGGTAACAGTCTTTATGGCTGTTTTTGTAGATTGTGCACGGCTGCCTTTTAATTAGTTTCTTGCGAGTGCACTACCCTTGAGATCTATTAATAGGCAAAATTTTTTTCGTATTTATTATTACTGAATAAGAAATCTGCCACACTCCTAACCATGTCATGATGACTGTTATTTGTTACTGATAGTATTTGAGCTGTTTAGTTAACTGTGGAGGGGAAAATTGGAGAAGTCAGTTGCAGTAATTATGGCCGAGAGAAACTCACTCATTTTATGAGATCTTGTGTTTGTGTTTCTGGAGAGACAAGAGTGAGTTCAGTTGAGCTGTTTGTTTTGTATTTGTAACCAATACAAGGACTAAGGACAGTTGTGTTGAAACTGAGGTCATGATGTTAGGATCTTGAGGGCTGAAGGTTCCAAATCAATGGTGTATGTATAGAATTCTATCTGACTTGAAATTTTCCCTTTCTGGACCTCTGAATGCTGAGGCTGACAGTGTCCATGTGACAGTGCCTTCCCTGACAGGAATCAGCAACCTTTTTTTTTTTTTTTTTTTTTGCACGTGTCAGTAATTAGTAAATTAGTCAGTAAATTAGCTCTGCCTCGCCCAGCTAATTTTTTTTTTTTTTTTTTTTTTTTGAGGTAGAGTCTCACTCTGTCACCCAGGCTGGAGTGCAGTGTCACCATCTCAGCTCACTGCAAGCTCCGCCTCCCGGGTTCACGCCATTCTCCTGCCTCAGCCTCCCAAGTAGCTGGCACTATAGGCGCCTGCCACCACACCCGGCTAATTTTTTGTATTTTTAGTAGAGACGGGCTCTCACCATGTTATCCAGGATGATCTCGATCTCCTGACCTCGTGATCCACCTGCCTTGGCCTCCCAAAGTGCTGGGATTATAGGCGTGAGCCACTGCACCCGGTCCTAATTTTTGTATTTGTAGTGGAGACGGACTTTCACCATATTGGCCAGGCTAGTCTTTAACTCCTGAACTCATGATCCGCCCACCTCGGCCTCCCAAAGTGCTGGTATTACAGACGTGAGCTTCCATGCCCGGCCCATGTTTGATGATTTTTTTCATCCTTTGTTCTTGTAAAAATCATGGTTAGAAAGCAGAGCATAATTGTTCTTTACATAGATCCCAACTGATTAGGGTTTTTAGGGAGTTTCTTTGGCATGCAGTAAATGTTTTTATTTTTAGTGTGGAATGTTGTGTGTTTTTTATCATTAGAAAATATTTGTAGATTTATACATATCAAATTCCATTCTTTTTTTTTGTTTGAGACAGAATCTCACTGTGTTGCCCAGGCTGGAATGCAGTGGTGCCATCTCGGCTCACTGCAACCTCTGCCTTCCGAGTTCAGGGGATTCTGCCTCAACCTCCCAAGTAGCTGGGATTACAGGTGTCCACCACCACACCTGGCTATTTTTTTTTTTTTTTTTGAGATGCAGTCTCGCTCTGTCGCCCAGGCTAAAGTGCAGTGGTGTGATCTCGGCTCACTGCAACTTCTGCCTCCCGGGTTCAAAAAATTCTCTTGCCTCAGCCTCCCGAGTAGCTGGCATTACAGGAACCCGCCACCACTAACCTCCACCTCCCAGGTTCAAGCGATTCTCTGCCTCAGCCTCCTGAGTAGCTGGGATTACAGGTGCACACCAGCACTCCCGGCTAATTTTTGACTTTGTCGTAGAGACAGGGTGTCACCATGTTGGTCAGGCTGGTCTTGAACTCCTGACCTCGTGATCCACCCACCTCGGCCTCCCAAAGTGCTGGGATTACAGGCGTGAGCCACATTTTTAGTAGAGACGAGGTATCACCATGTTGGTCAGGCTGGTCTCGAACTCCTGACCTCAAGTGATCCTCTCACCTCGGCCTCCCAGAGTGCTAGGATTACAGATGTGAGGTACTGCACCCAGCCTAATTTTGTATTTTTAGTAGAGACGGGGTTTTGCCATGTTGGCCAGGCTGCTCTAGAACTCCTAGGTTCAAGTGATCCTCCTGCATTGACCTCTCAAAGTGCTGGGATTACAGGCGTGACCACCACACCTGGCCAGTGGGAGGTCTTCCTTCCCTTCTCTCCAGCATTCTATAAGCAATGTTTTTGGGCAGTGTGTGTTCAATTTTCTCTATATATACTTTGAACCCTACAGTAGTGAAAGGAAGAGTAGACAAATATTGAAGCTGATGTGATGTGGGCTTTGAGCTGGTGGTGCTAATTATTGTTTTCATGGCCTTCAGTGACTTCATCCTGCTTTTGCTGTTGTAAAGTGTTGTAATTTATGCTCCTGAGAATAACACTTGAGGTGTACTTGGGGTTCTTGTCTGCTTCCTGGTGACTGTCGAAGCTTTTCATCTTGAAGAAGGGAGATGACCAGTGTTCCAGTGTACTGAGTTTAAAGAATTTTGCATTTTTTTATTTGTAAAATTTATAGCCAGATGTAGGGTAGGGGTGACATGCTTTCTCTAAAGGGCCAGATAGTAAATATTTTAAGCCCTCAATGGACCATATGGTCTCTGTCATAGCCATGGGCCCTTGAAGCTATAGTGCCAAAGCAGCCACAGACAATACTACATCGGTGGGCAGGGGAAGTTCATTCTGTAAACTTTATTTATGGACACCAAAAGATGAAGTTCACAGAATGTGTGCAAATCACAAAATACTGTTTTTCTTTTGATTATTTTTGAATCGTTAAAACATAAAATACGGTGGCCGGCCGTGGTAGTTCACACTTAATAATCCCAGCACTTTGGGAGGCCGAGGCAGCCGGATCACCTGAGGTCAGGAGTTCGAGACCAGCCTGGCCAACATGGTGAAATCCCATCTCTACTACAAAAAAAAATTAGTCAGGCATGGTGGTGCATGCCTGTAATCCCAGCTACTTGAGGCTGAGGCACGAGAATCACTTGAACCTGGGAGAATCACTTGAACCTGGGAGAATCACTTGAACCTGGGAGGAGGAGGTTGTGGTGAGCCAAGACTCTGTCTCAAAAGAACAAAAGTAAAATACTTTCTTTCAGACCATACATGAAGAGGCTGTGGGCTGGGTTTGGCCCCTGAGCTGTGGTTAGTGACCACACACACACACACACACACACACATACACACACACACACACACACACACACACAGGGCAGTCAGGCATTTAGAGCCAGCACCTGTGTTCTCAGCCGAGCTGTGTTCCTGGCTGGGTTCTACTCTCTATTCCGGGCCCTGAGGTGCCTACCTTGGTAAACTGGAGACAGCAAAGCCTGCCTGCTTCCAGGTTGGTTGTGAAGATTGAAAAGGGTCATGTTTTGTTGTTAGGCCAGATGCTTTGTGTAGGACATGTTAGGTCATTTCACCTTTTTTTTTTTTTTTTTTTTTTTTTTGAGATGGAGTCTTGTTCTGTTGCACAGGCTGGAGTGCATGGAGTATAGTGGCGAGATTCCAGCTCACTATGACCTCCGCCTCCTGGGTTCAAGCAATTCTCCTGCCTCAGCCTCCTGAGTTGCTGGGATTTACAGGTGGCTGCCACCACGCCCGGCCAATTTTGGTATTCTTAGCAGAGATGGGGTTTCACCATGTTGGCCAGGCTGGTCTCGAACTCCTGACCTCAAGTGATCCGTCCACCTCGGCCTCCCAAAGTGCTGGGATTACAGGTGTGAGCCACCGCACCTGGCCTATTTTCACTTTTCATTAGCTGCTTTTTTCCCCCATTTATTTCCTACCTTTCTGTGAAGGATTTCTGAGTTAAATGTATTTCATGTCTTAACCTTCTGAATTGTTTGTTCTCTCATTTTCCATGTTGCTGAGGAAAATAACAGGCTACGCGAGACATATTAAATTTCTATGTGGTTGCTCAGATCAGGATAAGTGCTCACCTGGTGCAAAATGGGACTCTGCTCTTGCTTCACCCAGGATGCGTTTCCTGGTTCCTTCCTAGAGTGGGGACACACCATACTCCAGCCCTCCGGACCCCGCTCCCTGCTCTGGCATGATTCCACCAGACTGTATTCCAGCTGTCCTCCCGGGACCTAGATGTTTTCTTTCTTTTTTTTTCTTTCCTTTGAGATGAAGCCTCACTCGGCGGTCCAGGCTGGAGTGCAGTGGCACAATCTCGGCTCACTGCAACCTCCACCTCCCAGGTTCAAGTGATTCTTCTGCCTCAGCCTCCCAAGTAGCTGGGATTACAGGTGCCTGCCACCACGCCCAGCTAATTTTTGGGAGATAGGGTTTCACCATTTTGGCCAGGCTGATCTTGAACTCCTGACCTCAAGTGATCTGCCCGCCTCGGCCTCCCAAAGTGCTGGGATTACAAGCATGAGCCACCACACCTGGCCAATTTTTTTTTTTTTTAAATTTGTGTAGATGGGGTTTTGCCATGTTGCCCGGGCTGGTCTTGAACTCCTGGGCTCAAGCGACCCTCCCGCCTCAACCTCCCAAAGTGTTGGGAGTATAGGTGTGAGCCACTGTGCCTGGCTGAGATGACTTAAATGACACAGGAGGATGTGCACAGGTTACATGCAAATACCACACCATTTTATATCAGGGTTTTGAGCATCCTAGGGTCTGGTGTGGAGCCAGGGTGGGGCAGGCCTGGTCCCAATCCCCTGCAGATACCAAGGGACGACTGTGCATGTTGTATTTCTGGAAACAGTTTGAGAGTAAATTAAACCAAGTGACAGATGAGATTTCTACCCATTTGGTAATAGTAGTGCCGTGGTTCTTTCCCTCCTTCCTGACCGGCTGTGATGGTCATGAATCAGAGTGTCATGTATGGGTGGGCGGTAGGTGCTCAGATTCTCCAAGCACTGTTGTGTGTTTGTCAAATCAAACTGAGTTCCCTCAGCTGCAGAAACGGCTGAGAGCCCAGCTGGTTTTTCTCTGTGCTGTTTCCTTTGTGATGACATAGTGTTGATGGATTTATTGGAATATATCTTTCATTAATTGGAAGAATTCCTAAAATTAAAAAAATAAAAGCCTTTTTTTGAGATAATTGTGGATTCACATACAGTTGTAAGAAATAGTATCGAGGTTCCTTTTACTGTTCGCCCCATTGCCCTCAATGGTAGCCAGTTGCAAACTACGGCACAGTCACCACAACTAGGGTGTTAACGCTGACAGTCTGCCTGCCCTCTTCAGGTCTTCCCAGTTTTACATGCTCTCAATGGTGTGTGTATTTCTTGGCAAATTTTTCACGTGTGGATTTCCTGAGACCACCGCTGCAATCAGGGTACATGGACAAGAGTCCTTAATACCCACATTCACGTCTTCTCTCCCCACCCTAACTGCTGGCAACCACTCATCTGTTCTCTGTGTCTATTATGTGATTTTTTGACATTGGTTTTTAAATTTTTTATTGTTATTATTGTAATTTTTGGAGACAGGGTCTCACCCTGATGCCCAAGCTGGAGTGCAGTGATATAATCATAGCTCACTGCAGCCTCAAACTCCTAGGCTCAAGCAGTCCTCTCATTTCAGCTTCCTGAGTAGCTGGGACCACAGATGCACGACAACACTCCCAGCTAATTTTGTACTTGTAGAGACCCCGGTCTTGTTATTGTTCCCAGGCTTGTCTTGAACTCCTGGCCTCAAGCAAGATTGAGTTTTTTCACTCAGCATAATCCCCTTGACATTTTCCCAAGGGGGTCATTGCACGTGTCATTATTGCTGAGTAGTAGTTTTTTTGTTTTTTGTTTTTTGTTTTTGGAGGCAGAGTCTCGCTCTGTCGCCCAGGACAGGCTGGAGTGCAGTGGCACAATCTTGGCTCACTGCAGCCTCCACCTCCCAGGTTCAAGCAATTCTCCCTCAGCCTCCCAAGTAGCTGGGACCACAGGCGTGCACCACCACGCCTGGCTAATTTTTGTATTTTTAGTAGAGATGGGGTTCTGCCATTTTGGCCAAGCTGGTCTCCAACTCCTGACCCGAAGTGACTCGCCCACCTCCTCTGACCACACTTGACCCATGTGCTTTCTCTTGGAAGGACTGTGTGTCCTGTTACATGTCTGTGTCTTGTCACGTTCATATTTCTCATTTCAGAGCAAAGATTTCTGTCTTCCAGGTACCCAGTGCCCTTCTCGGAGGTTCTTGTGTTTCCTGTCTGAGCTTGTCCTAATAAGCCTGGGAGCGCTACAGGAGACCAGGGCTTATTTCATCCCTTCGGCTTCGACCATAAAAGACGGCACACGCTTCTAAAGGAGCCGTTTATAGGCCTACCTTCAGGGCGCATTCTCTTTCTCAGGGATGTTCCTTGCTGAGAAAAAGAATTCAGCAATATTTCTCCTATTTGCTTTTGATAGAGGAGAAATACAGCTCTGCAAAATATAGCATTTTGCCTCCAGATTCTCAGGTGGTTTTAGAAAGTGTTTCTCTAATTCTGTAGGAGAATGTTGATACTGTTGCAGTCTTACATGACATGGAAACTAGAAAATATAGCTAGATACTCTTCTTCTCATGTTTTGGATAATGAGATAAATTATTTTATGCTTCACACACTTGGAGTATGTCATCTACTGTAATATAGTATCTGAATGAATACTTCAAATACATTTTTGTAAGCTAGTTGTACACTTTAAAGCCTCTGAATAAATTTGAGTAGCAAGTCTGAGAAACTTGATTCTAAATATTAAAAATACATCCTTCCTTGGGAGGGAGCGTGTAGGAAACGTGCAGTGTGATTGTAAGCATGCTGTCTGTCTGGAGGTCGCTTTGTTCCTGCATCCTCTGCTTTCATTTCAGGGATGTTCACGGAACGCCAGGCACCAAAGGGCCAGAAGCGTCCCCCTGCAGGACCAGCCTTGGCCCTGGTCATCCTGCTGGAGCTGGCTGTGCAGAGAGGCACGCTGAGGTGAGGGCTGGCGCAGACTGGGAACGCTTTGGGGAAGTGCGTCTGTATCCACATACCTGTAGCACTGTGTGCATTTCACTGAATGGTTTGTGACTGCAGCAGATGTGTGGTGCTCTGTAACCAGAGAACCACGTCCCAGAGCTCGCTCTCTCTTTACCTTTCCTTCATCTCCTTTTTTATGCTCGGTTTTCTAGTCTGGGAACTGTTCTTTTTTTTTCTTTCAGTTTTCCTCATTTAATTGTTTTTATTCCATGAATTTAAGATCCTAGAGCTTTCATGTAAACGTGCTCTTTGAGCTTCTTAACTGGTCTTTCCTATCAGCAGAAGGCGATGTTGTGTGCTAAAATCTCAGTGTCAATTCAGTGATTTAATTAGCACGGCTTTACTTTCATTTCCTTCCAGATCCCAAGTATTTCTTCACTTCTATATAGCTGTTTGCTTTTATTTTTGATTAACCATGAAAAAAAAAAAAGTTAATGTGTTTTTACTAGGAATGAATATCTTTTCTCCTTTAGCCAAATGTTGTCTGCCATCCTATTGTTGCTTCAGCTGTGGGACAGCAGGGCACAGGAGACTGACAATGAGCATTCTGCCCAGGGCACCAGCACCCCGCTTTTGCCCTTGCTGCAAAGGTTCCAGAGCATCATTTGCAGGAAGGATACGCCCCACTCCGAGGGTGACATGCACGTGAGTGTCATGATGGAACTTTGTGTTTAGGTGGCACTGGATTCTTGTTATTTTTTAAGTAAGACCAGCATGCGTGTCCACGGCAGTGTTTTTCTCTGCTGTGTGCATATTTGGTGGAAACAGCAGCGAGTCAGATGAGACAGGTGTGGGAGGTCACTTGTTTGTGGAGAAGACTTGAATCAGTGAGCACCGACTTCCTTGTCAGCACAGAACCAAGCTTGAAACACGCACTTTTAAATCAATACCAGAAAAGAACAACGAAAACAGTGGCCTGCTTTGTTGGCCCTTCCTGTGTACTAGGCTCTGTGCAGGGCATGTCACCTGAGTTGTCACTCTGTTGAGTACCAGCTCCCCCCATAACAGGTGTGGATGCCGCGCTCAGGGAGGAGCAGGTGTGCGGGGCCCTGGGCCTGAACCTCCAGGACTGCTGGTCCTTACAGGTCAAGTACAGGTTGGATTTTGCCAGTCTTTTCGGGAAAGTCTTAGGCATTCCAGTATCGTGCTTTGGTTTATTTTTCTATTATTTGGCAGTCTTGAATAATCGTCGGGCTCTTCTGCCTGTAGAAGAATTAGAATTAGGATTTAATTTGCAAATGAAAATAGGTGTTCTCCAGAGCTGGCAAGGTTTAGATTAAAGTAAAGGTTTTGGTTTTGGATTTCAAGGCCAGCTTGAGATGCTGCGCTGGGTTCCCCCAGAGGTGGTTCTGCCTTTCTCCAGGGGTCCTAGGCCTGCGGGGTGGTTTGGTTGTGTTGGTAATCTGTGTGGACTCAACTAACCTGTGGTATCATAAGTGTATACATGCACCGTCAATGTTGTGGACATGTATACAGCAAATTTAGACATTTGTGCAGTCAGTTTATATGCTGCATAAATATATAGATGTGTAGTATAACTGTATCATCGACATGGTCATTTGATGGGCCACACGAGTAAATACCAAAATGTAAAGAGTGGTTTTTTATTTTATTAAGGGCTAATTGTGTTACTTTAATTTTTCCCACCATTTCTGAATGTCTGTTTACTTTTCCTTTCTAGCTTTTGTCTGGCCCTCTGAGCCCCAGCGAGAGTTTCCTGAGGTACCTCCCCCTTCCCCAAGACAACGAGCTTGCCATCGATCTGGGACAGACCGTGGTTGTCGTCATGGGCCATTTAGACCGTCCGGCTACGCCCTGTTTGCCTCCGCTGTGTAGCGCTCCGACGTCTCGTAAGGTGTGTGCAAGAACCACGTTCTCCGTGTGTTTTGTGGCTAGTACCACCTCTAGGTTCTCATCCTGGGCCCGTGTGGAGACTTGGTTTTCTGGTGTTGATGGGGGAGCTGGCTTGTGGTTTTAAACGTGTTTGCAGTTGAAGGTGTTCCCCGTGTGGAGAGTGAGTGATGAGCAAGCTGAGGTGCAGAGGCCTAGGGACCCAACCTGGGGGCCCAGGTTCCAGGTTCAGGTAGCACCGCCCCAGAGAGCTCCCCGTTAGCCACAGCCCCAGGCCCTCCCACCTTCTGCAGGGGGTTCCACAGCCTTCTTTATACTCCGAAGGCGGGCTGCCATAGTATGTAATGCTGGTTATGGTAGTGACAGTATAATTCTATATTCTATCTGTCATGTAATAGTAATGGTAATAGTAGTGATTTGCATGTGTGGAGCACCTATAGGGTGCAGGCCCGCTGAGGACCTCATGCATGCTGTTGTATCTCATTATGTCAATGAGAAAATTGCGTTTGGGAATGGTGGTGAACTTTGCCAGGGTATAACAGTAATCTTAGTTTTGAATAGATTTTTCTAACATTTTATTTCTAATATGAAGAGTATTTATTTTGTTTTACAGTCATTAAAAGAAAGGAGGCCCCATGCAGTGTCCCACGCCTGTAATCCCAGCACTTTGGGAGGCCGAGGTGGATGGATCACAAGGTCAGTAGATCGAGACCATCCTGGCGAACATGGTGAAACCCCATTTCAACGAAAAATACAAAAAATTAGCCGGGCGTGGTGGCGGGCGCCTGTAGTCCCAGCTACTCGGGAGGCTGAGGCAGGAGAATGGTTTGAACCCGGGAGGTGGAGGTTGCAGTGAGCTGAGATCCCGCCATTGCACTCCAGCCTGGGCAACAGAGCCACACTTTGTCTCAAAAAAAAAAAAAAAAAAAAAATTAGGAATACAGTCACATGGTTCAAAAATCAAACCTAGGCAGAGACACACTGTCGCTTTCCCTGCCCACCCTTCTACCCAGTTTCCCACCTGCTCCCTCTGACTTTCCAGTCTCCTCTGTAACCTCCTTGTTCTCTGGAATGAGTACCTAGTGGTAGCAGGTTGCATTACTTGTGGTGTGTTTTTTACTAACCATTTGTACTGGAGTACTTTATCAGAGTATGGCTCTTTGTTTTTATAAAGCAACTTAGTATTCAGTGTGCGGATGTGAGTTTTATGTATCTTTGTTTAGTGAGTCTCTTATTGGTGGACACTTGGGCTTATTGCCACAATGTTGCTATACAAATAGTACTGAGGGCCTGGTGTGGTGACTCACGCCTGTAGTCCCAGCACTTTGGGAGGCCGAGGTGGTGGGATCACCTGAGGTTGGGAGTTTTAGACCAGCCTGGCCAACTTGGAGAAACCCCATCTCTACTAAAACCTACAAAAATTAGCCGGGCATGGTGGCACGTGCCTGTAATCCCAGCTATTTGGGAAGCTGAAGTAGGAGAATCACTTGAACCCGGGAGGCGGAAGTTTCAGTGAGCTGAGATGGCGCCACTGCACTCCAGCCTGGGCAACAAGAGTGAAACTCCTTCTCAAACAACAATAACAACAACAATAAAACAAACACAAATAGTGCTGCAGGGCCTGCCCTGGAACACGTGTGCTCCATGTGTGCACGTGTGTGTGCCTGTGCCCATGCGCAGGTGGGGATGCACCTAGTGCAGGCTGGTTGTCACCAGGTTGCTCCTGTACAACTTGGTTTCTCTCACCGCCGACAGGGATGCTGGTCTCCCAGCCTCGCGTGTGGGCGTTTGGGATTTTGCCTCCTAAAGCACAAAATGGTGACCCTGATGTAATTTGAGCATTTTAAAGTATATTAGTATTTAAGGGCGTTGATACTACTTTTTAATGGGCTCTGTTAAAATGAAACGCGTTGGAAATGGAAAACTAACCTGTTCAGTCGCTTCATCATACCTGTTAAATGAGGTAGTACGGCATGGTACCAGCTATTTTGATGTTTTGAATCAGCATATTTTCTCTTTATTTGCTTTGTTTTTAGCTTATAATATCTCAGTGTTACTCCCAGCCTTTTTTTTTTTTTTCTTTTGCTATTGTAAAAGAAAACATTTACTTTCTTATCTTACAGGGATCATTGCAAGAGGTCATAGGTTGGGGGTTAACAGGATGGAAATACTACGCCAATGTGATTGGTCCGATCCAGTGTGAAGGCCTGGCCAACGTGGGAGTCACACAGATTGCCTGTGCAGAGAAGCGCTTCCTGATTCTGTCACACAATGGCCATGTGCACACACAGGCCTACAATAGTGACACACTGGTGTGTGTTCTGGGCACTGTGCCTGCAGTGTTCCCTTGGCGGGCAGGATCTGTACTGCAGATGCACAAGCTCTGGTCTTTCTTGAGGCCATTTGATTTGTGAAGATTGAGAAGCTTCTGTTTATTGTATATTATGTTTAATGGTCTCAGCTGTAATATTGTCAAGATTTGGGTTGTGAAGGTTAGGAAGTCCTTACAGTGAAACTCATTGCTAATCGTGAGATTCCCGTTTGTAAACTCATTTTCCATGTGTAAACTCATTTGACTTTGTGGCCAGGCAGGTGACAGATGAGGGAGTTGGGCCTCATGGGGATAATGGCACATTGGGACGTGGCATGTTTTTATTAAAGCGGGGTGTTCCTCCCTGTCGGCTGCACGTCTCTGTCGCAAGGAGTAGCCTGCCCTGCCCCCGCATCGGCTCTGGTCTTGCCGCAGAGCACTTGGAGGCTGCCCGCTGTTCTGTTGGTGCTGGGTGGGAAGGGCTGGAGAGCCGGCCCCGTGGCCCGCAGAGACTTATGCCCCACTTCCGGTTAGAGCAGGGTTTGCTCAGAGATACATGATAAAGGAGAGCTGTGCTGATTTCATTTTCCTTGAACTGATGATGACTTTTCTTCCTATTTTTCTTTTTTTAGGCCCTACAGCTGGTCCAAGGCCTTGCCTCCAGAAACATTGTAAAAATTGCTGCCCATTCTGATGGTCATCACTGCGTAGCCTTGGCTGCCACTGGAGAGGTGTACTCCTGGGCTTTGGGGACAGCGGACGGCTGGGCCATGGGGACACTGTGTATGTATCGCTCATTCCTGCAGGGACACACTCCTCTTTTATGTTGCCATTTCCTCGACAGGCTGGAGCGCAGGAGTGTGTGCAGGTGTTTTCCAGCTGCCCCGACGTGCAGCGCTGGGGTGGAGCGGGACACTGTGATATGCCCCCTCCTTGGTGACAGCTGAGGAACTCTCTGCCCATGTGTGGAAGGCAATGGGATTCAGCCTTTCTGCTCTTTTCCACCCCGTGCAGCCTTGGCCGCCTTCTCTCTACTCAAACCGCATCCCCACTGTGGAGTTTGCCAGAACAAATCCCACAGCACTGTTCCTTCCTTCACAAACAGTTCCCCCTGTCTCCCATAGATAAGGTTGTCTCCCTTTCCTTCAACCATTAGATTATTTTTACAGGAGCGAAAGTCAGCAGTTTCTTCGTAATATCATCCTATTCGGTGGAACCTTTTATTGTGAAAGAACAGAAATAAAGTTGTTATAAATGCCAGGTTGTAAAAATTGGGAGGTCTGCCAGCCCCATGAGTGGTGGGAACCCTCTTGTACTTTGCTGTTGTGCAGGGAACTCTGGCATTAGGTTTAAATGAAGGATGTATGTACACACCAACCCAGCAAGCCCATTTCATGCGGGCCGGAGCCCTGAGCAGGGAGCGGACAGTGCAGAACTTGAAATGAGCGTAGTCATGACTGCCCTTGTGTCCCTTGAGAGGAGCCTGGAGGGCAGGGGCCATGCACACCACAGGGTGGAGTTGAGGGCATCATTGCCAATGGCATCCGCTGGGAAGATCCCAAACTGGGAGAAAAGCAGAGTGATGCGCATCGTGTGGTACATGTATGCCAAGCTCAGAACAGCCCAACCCTGACAGTGTTGTAAGGGATTCAGACAAATATAAAATGAGTGAAAAACAAAAGATCAATCTCCGTGGAATTTATAGCTGTTACTCTCACATTGGATCCTAAGGGCTGGGATTGACATGGGGTACACGGGATTTGAAAGGCATTGAGGTACAGGACAGGGTGGTGTGTCTGCTTATTTCCTTTAGGTATTACTGACTTTGTATAAAATATTTCATAGTAAAACAATTCTCAGTGCAGAGTAAGTGCTGGGATGAGTAACTTATCCCTTGTTCTAGGACTTCAAGGAAGGAAGAGAGATCAGTGCAGATGGCAGAAGCTGGAGATAACCTTTTGGGGAAGTTGAAACTTAAGCTGAATAAGGGAGAGGTTGTACTCGGGTAGAGTCATTGGACTGTCGCTGTGTGCGCCTGTGCCACTGTGTGTATTTTGCAAACTAGCAGGTCACAAAGTGAGTAAACCATGCCTTTGGAGAGGCCCGGCTTCTATCGATTCTCAAGAAAATGTCATGCAACATAGGAATGTATTCTGGATCCTAAGAATAGGATATTTTGTTAACTTTGCAATTTCTTCAACTAGTAAGACTTCTCTACCCTAATCCCCACTGCCTCATAGTTTTCATTTGTAAAATACAGACTGCAGAGTGCTGGCTTCATTCCATCCACATTCATTTAACAAATACCTATAAATGTCAGTCAGCTTTGAGGCTTACGTACAACCAGACGACTGAGTTTCAGGTATAGAGTTGGATGGGTTTTGGCCAGTGCCCTCAGCTGGGGAGTTACCACCATCAAGACATGGGGCGTTCCCATCGCTTCCAGGGCCCTGTTTGTACCCTTTGAGTTGATGCCCACTTCCTCCCTCCAGTTCCTGACAACCTCCGATCTGCCCTCTGTTGTTACTATTTTGTCTTTGTCATAACTGAAGGTAAACAAAGCCATACAGTGTGTGGTGTTTCGTTTCTGGCATCTTTCACGTAGCGTGATGTCCTGAGATCCAGCCGCGTTGCTGGGTGTGTGGGTAATTCCTTCCTTCTGTTGCAGATGGACCGTGGTTTTGGGCCATTGTGAAGAAAGCTGCGGTGGACTTTACTGTAGAATTTTTTTTTTTTTGAGATGGCGTTTTGCTCTTGTTGCCCCAGTTGGAGTGCAATGGCGTGATCTCAGCTCACTGCAACCTCCGCCACCCGGGTTCAAGCGATTCTCCTGCCTCAGCCTTCCAGTTGGCTGGGATTACAGGGGCCCGCCACCATTCCCAGCTAATTGTGTATTTTTAGTAGAGACGAGGTTTCACCACGTTAGCCAGGCTGGTCTCAAACTCCTGACCTCAGGTGATCCGCCCACCGCAGCCTCCCAAAGTGCTGGGATTACAGGTGTGAGCCACCGTGCCCAGCCTATTGTACAAGTCTTTCACCCTGTTTTTGTAATTCTACCGGATACCATGCTTGGCGTCAGGTTCCAACTTAACAAAAAGTCATGGAGGTGTTAGGTGTTCAAATTCTCTCTTCCTTATTTTATAAGATACGTGGAAGGTGAAACTGGCCTGATGCTCTCATGGTCTCCATTTGGATAGTGAATTTCCTTTGCTAACACTAATAAGAAATAACACCAAGAAG